TGCATATTTTCTTCCCGTTCACATTCACTGCCCCAGCAGTCTGCTGGAAACAGCAGTGTGCACCCCTACAACCAGGGCTCGCGACTTCACATGAATTCCCCTGTCCTCACGCCCCTCACCATCCACACAGCCTGGCCACAGCCGCCTATGGTACCGCTCTGGGTGTCATCCGCTCTCTGCACGCGCAAGGCCTGCTGGAGACAGCCGTGTGCACAGAGACGCGCCCGTACAACCAGGGCTCGCGGCTGACAGCATTTGAGCTGACTCACGACGGCATCCCCGCGCTGCTCATTGCTGACTCCGCCGCTGCCTCGCTCAAGGCTGCTGGCCGCATTGATGCTGTTGTCGTGGGCGCCGATCGCATCGCTGCCAATGGTGGGTTCAATGTTGACCGCTCTTTGCTCTCTGCTGCCTGCTGCTTGCCTGCTGCCTGCTGCTGCTATTGCTCGACCTGTTTGTGCTTATCTAACACCCATAACCATGCCCGTCTTCGTTGTGGCGCCACTCACCCCGTCTCAACCCCTTCTCACCTCCCGATCGCCAGGTGACACTGCCAACAAGGTCGGCACGTACTCACTGGCGCTCTCAGCCTTCCACCACAAGATGCCCTTCTTCGTGGCAGCGCCGCTCACCCCTTCTCTACCCCCATCTCTCGACCCTCCACCTGTCGACCACCACCAGGTGACACTGCCAACAAGATCGGCACGTACTCACTGGCGCTCTCAGCCTTCCACCACAAGATGCCCTTCTTCGTGGCAGCGCCGCTGACGTCCATCGATGCGGCGATCAAGACAGGCGAGGAGATCGTGGTGGAGGAGAGGCACGCCGCTGAGCTCACCCACTCGCTGGGAGGCGCTGGGCCTCAGGTGCGTTAGAGGGGCATGGTGGTGCATTGCTTGATTGGGGATGAGGGCCTCAGGTGCGCTGCTGACATCCATCAATGCAGCCATCAAGACAGGGGAGGAGGAGATGGTGGAGGAGAGGCACGCTCCTGAGCTCACTCACTCGCTGGGAGGGGCAGGGCCTCAGGTGTGTTAGGAGGTGCTGATGCATCACTCATTCCTGCTGGTGCCTCAGGTGTGTTAGGAGGTGCTGATGCATCACTCATTCCTGCTGGTGCCTCAGGTGTGTTGGGAGGTGCTGATGCATCACTCATTCCTGCTGGTGCCTCAGGTGTGTTAGGAGGTGCTGATGCATCACTCATTCCTGCTGGTGCCTCAGGTGTGTTAGGAGGTGCTGATGCATCACTCATTCCTGCTGGTGCCTCAGGTGTGTTAGGAGGTGCTGATGCATCACTCATTCCTGCTGGTGCCTCAGGTGTGTTAGGAGGTGCTGATGCATCACTCATTCCTGCTGGTGCCTCAGGTGTGTTAGGAGGTGCTGATGCATCACTCATTCCTGCTGGTGCCTCAGGTTCCCCTGGTATTTTATAGCTGAATCTACTCACTGTTGGTTTGTCTGCGCTCTTTCCATGTGCTGCTGTGCCATGTGCTGCTGTGCTATGTGGTGATGTGCCATGTGGTGATGTGCCATGTGGTGATGTGCCATGTGGTGATGTGCCATGTGGTGATGTGCCATGTGGTGATGTGCCATGTGGTGATGTGCCATGTGGTGATGTGCCATGTGGTGCTGTGCCATGTGGTGATGTGCCATGTGCTGCTGTGCCATGTGGTGATGTGCCATGTGGTGATGTGCCATGTGCTGCTGTGCCATGTGGTGATGTTTCCGTGCTGTATTGGTCGACTCATCTGGCAGGTGGCACCTCACGGCATTGATGTGTGGAACCCGGCGTTTGACATCACACCAGCACAGTTCATCACAGGGCTCATCACCGACAAGGTGGGTCGGGGGGAAGTAGAGAGGTATTTCCATGTCACCGCACCGCTGTTTCTGTTCTACCTGAGGCATCATCAGCCTGGACCTTACTCTCTCACACCCCCTTCACCTCCTTCTCACATGCCCTTCACCTCCCTCTCACACCCACGCCCCTCGCCCCTTTCTCCCCCCCCCTGCAGGGCGTCATCTGGAAGAAGGAGGGCGCATCAGTCTTCGACATCCGCGGCTTCCTCCACTCCCTCGGCGCCCCCGTCCCCTCCTCGCCCATGTACCCACCGCCCGCCAACAACCCGCACCCCAAGGAGGACGACGCGCAGCCGCACGACCCCCACAAGGACCGCATCCGCAAAGACGCACTGGAAGCCTCTCGCTTCACGCCCGTCAGCGAGCACACCGTGCCTGCCTTCCTCCAGGACCACCCGGACCTCGCCGCCAGGCTCGGCGGCGGCCCGGACCAGTGGTCCGTGCGGGAGGTGGGCGACGGAAACATCAACTTCGTGTATATCGTAGAAGGGCCGGGAGGGGCCTTAGTGGTGAAGCAGGCTCTCCCATACGTGCGAGTGGTGGGTGAATCCTGGCCCATGACTCTGGATAGGATTTACTATGAGGCGCTCGCGCTGCGGCAGCAGTTTGCGTGGGTGCCTGAGCTGGTGCCCGAGGTGTATTTCTTTAGTCACCCGATGGCGCTGCTTGTGATGCGGTATGTGGCGCCGCCGGCGATCGTGCTGAGGAAGGGGCTGGTGCAGGGGCGCGTGTACCCGCTGCTGGCGGAGCACATGTCGTCGTTCCTCGCCAGCACGCTGTTCCTCTCCTCGCTCATTGCCATCAACACCGAGGTCTACCGCGACAAAGGTGCACCGTTTTCAATTGTTGCAGGCAGTTTATGAGAGATGGATTTTGCTCAGTATATTCAAATGTGAGACCATTGAAATCAGCACAGTATAATTAGGTTCCCAGCCCGTGCCGTCCCAACGCTCTGCCGTGCCATTCCTCCGCTCCCTGTTGCCTGCAGTGCGCGAGTTCTGTGGCAACGTGGAGATGTGTCGGCTGACGGAGCAGGTGATCTTCACGGAGCCCTACGTGCTGGCCACCAACAACCGCTGGACCACTCCCCAACTGGATGACGACGCTGCTGCTCTGAGGGAGGACGTGGAGCTCAAGCTCGCCATCACAGAGCTCAAGAGCAAGTGAGTGCCGCTCAATGCCCCCCTCCTGATTCCTTCCACCTCCTGATATATTCCCCTCCTTATGTATTCCACCTCCTCCTGGGTTCCCTTTAGCTCTTTCGGAGCAACCCCATTTCTCTCTTCTCCCCCACCCATCCTTTTGCAGGTTCTGTGAGCGAGCACAGGCGCTGCTGCATGCGGATCTGCACACAGGCTCAGTCATGGTCACGGAGGAATCAACGGTCGTGATCGACCCGGAATTTGCGTTCTACGGTCCGATGGGCTTTGACATCGGGGCCTTCCTGGCCAACCTGCTGCTGGCCTATTTCAGTCAGGACGGCCATGCCACGGCTGATGACTCTCGTGCTGTGAGTCTGCTCCATGGGATCTTACTGTGTAGCTGAGCTGAATGAATCCCGCTTATCCTGTTACCTTCCTTCACGATCCCTCAAAATTTTTGCCACATCCCTCACGATCCTCTCCTCCCCATCCCTCTCCCAGGCCACCAAGAAGTGGATCCTGCAGTGCTTCACGGAGACGTGGCAGAAGTTTGAGGCCAAGTTCCTGGCGCTGTGGAATGACAAGGCGCTGGCCAAGGGAGACGCGTACCCGCAGGCGCTGTACCACGACAACGCCGCGCTGCTCTCCGCCGCCCAGACCGCCTTCCTGCGCGAGGTCTTCCTTGACTCGCTGGGATTCGCCGGTGCCAAGATGGTCAGGTGAGAGCTGGTGCAGGCCTAAGGGAGCGCGGAACCTAGTTGCAGCTTTGGTGCTTTGCTGTGTCTTGCCAGGTTTTCAGGTATCAGGTTCTGCCGTCCACCAAAATCTGTGAGGGAATGGAAGTCCTGACTCCCGAGTGTCCGTGCTCTGTCTACTCTTGCAGGCGCATTGTTGGCATTGCGCATGTGGAGGATCTGGAGTCCATTGCAGACCCTGATGTGAGGGCAGCTTGCGAGCGCAGGGCTCTCAATTTCGGCAAGCACCTCATCAAGGAAAGGCAGAAGTATAATAGCATTGCGGAGGTGGCTGCAGCTGTGGAGGCAATAGTATAGGCTAAATCAGTAGAATGCTTTCATGATTAGCACTGATGGCAAAAGCAACTGTCAGCCCCTCCCAAAAATTTACTGTAACTGGATTTGATCCTACTTGGTAGTGCAACGCACCAAACCTCGCATATCTAACCATATATTTTACTGTCTAACGGGGACGTAGAAACACATCCCTTGGGGCAACGGAATCCAACGGCCAAGGATCTGGGATGGACTTGGTTGTGCAAGGAAATTTCATTTCACCAAGCGGCTCGAGCTGCGACACGATGAGGACCTGCAGCGAAAGCAGAGGATGGATCAAATTTCTGGTTTTCGGGAATTCCCTCGCACCCATATGCCCTCATCCCAATGTCGCACATGATTTTCCCTCCCGCATGGCCATTGGCCACATGACATGGTCGCACATGTTTCGCCATCGCAGAGTCGCGCACACTTTTGCGGTTCGTTGGCGAATTTGAGATGCTTCGCACAGCTCGGCTAGCTGGACTGCTCAACACGGGAGTACCATATATCTTGCTCAGGTTGGCTGATTTCTTGTTGAATTGAAAGCTGGAATCGGCGTGAACGAGAATCTGATAACGACGCTTCTCCACGTTCCTCGCCGCTTAGCTAGTTGCAGGAAGTTCCAACGTCATAAACTCAATTCGAACTGTTACTACCTCAAGATTATTGAGGTTGCGCCTGTGCACCTTCCTTACCAGCGATGCATCCACCTCGTTGCAATCGTTGCTAGCTAAGGGCTGATAGACGCTGCTACTGCACGACTTTAACACTAACCAGGATTAAGGATACATCGAGCATTATCCAATCCCTCTAACTCAGCTCTTTTAAGGAGATTAGTCTCTCCGAATTCCCCCTCTCTGTCAATTTCAAGCCTGGATTTTCTCGGCGGAGGCTGGTCGAAGCACAGAGAGCACAGTTCGCCGTGGAACGAACTATATTAGCAGGAATGAAGCTCCACGCATCGCTTACATTGCTGCTTCTTCTCTCGTTGACCTCAGGTGCTACTCTCCGCGCTTCTCCAGGACCTCGTGATTTTTTTCAGAAACTCTTTTGATTGATTTTTCGATTCGCGTTTCCATCAAGCCTTAAACGAGGACGCTCGGGATACACCTCAGTGCATTCAGCCCTTCAGTGCACACATGCATGGAACTCCCATCTTTCGCGACGATATTGTACGTGGCAGGGCCGTGGTTAGCCGTAGCCGGCGGCAAGGAGTCAGGAGGCCTACCTGACGGATCCACATGCTACTACGACAAGAACTATACCCCCATCAAGCCCTACTGCAAGCGAGATTTCGGGTACGCTGCGAAAACCATAAAATTCTTAGCCTGAATTTCCGGCAGTGCTATCCAGCGATTCACTATCTGAGATGCTATTACTTCAGGGAGCAGCTTGACCACCATGCAAGCACAGCTTAAATTTCGTTGCCGACACTCCTTCCGTGTTCGTCACATGATCTTAATGCAGGTGTGTGGTGACCAAGGTGATTCGCAACTCGCCGCATTTCAAGTTCAAGGGTGAATGCGCCTCCGACGTTCCTCGTAAGACTTCATTTAATCCCGCTTTCGTATGCCTCTCTGCACTGATTGCGACTTCATGCAAGAAACACTGCTCACGGAGACAAAAAAATACGAACAAAACAAAGTTGCCTCTTTCTCGGTGTTACAATGTCATTCACGATCCTTGAATCTCCTTCCCAGTGGACCAGATAACCAAGCGGTTCTGCATGTTCCGCTCCGTGATGTTCGCGCCGGGGACCAGCGGCATCACGGCGACGTCCATGTGCCCGCACTGCACGTGCCGGCAGCTCAAGGGCGGCCCCACATGCTTGTGTCCGCTGGGCAAGCTGTGCAAGCAGGACGCGGTGGGGCGATGGAAGGACGGCACGCGATGCAGAGACACCAGGCAGAACCAGTTGAGTCGGGGGATTGGGAGTGAGATCAGGGACGAATTAGAGACTTTATGCCCCTGACTCTCCTGTGCACAGGCAAATCTTGTGATATGGAATGGAGTAATTTCCGGAACACATTGTACATATTTACCCCCGTCCCATGTCGTCATTGCACCACCAGGTGTGAAGTATCACGGGTGGTGAACGGCTCATACGTTGGCAACTGCATCAACCCTGCTCGTCAGTTCCTCTCCCTCCATCGTTGTTTTCTGCTCCCTTACCGCTTTCGTGCTTACAGATCCTATTGTTCAAGTGTTGTTCATCTGTTACCGGTACACAACTTATTGTTATTGTTTTTGCAACGTGTGTAATCTCCCGTCCTTTAACATTCATTCTATCATCGTGTTCCCACCCCCTTATTCCATCACTGTCAGAGGGTCCAAACGAGTGCATCAGTGCAGGACCAGGGTGGGGTCCCATTTTTGTGAGGAACAGGGCTCACAACATTACCAAGACTGGTGATCTATGCCAACGCTGTTCCTGCATGAAAGGACAGTTTGTCAACTGCAAGCCTGTGCCTGGATGTGCCAGTAAGTTCGTGGGAGGTAGTGTTATGGAATGTGCTGTAGCGTTCAGTTTTTCGTATTAAACTCGCGTCCTTGTTTCTTGTTTCTTCGGTTTGTATTGCTCCCTTGGTACTCTGCTCTTTTGCAGTGTGTGTTCCAAAGAGTCCAACCAACGTCGCACAGCAATGCAGCCAGTGCTGCAAAAAGGCCACCACACCAGAGGGTGCTGAGTTATGTGAAACAGCATGTAACAGGGTTTATCGGCAGGCTTCAGGCAGTCCGTCCTAACCTCTATGATGAAGCGCGTATGCCCTGCCTTGCCTGCATGTGTTACAACACAGTGACCTCTGTTGGAAACAATAAGTCCTAAGTGCGCTTCTGTCGTATCAAAATCCAAGGTACCAAGCGAAGCAGTCCCAATCGAAGCATCGAGTCAACCTCGGAGGTTAGGGTAACCGCCTGGAGGTTACGAGAAAGTCAAAGGTCGCTGACCTTTGACTCGACAATTACAGCGCGACAGTTAAGGACACACAACTGACTCGTTACAGAGCAGTTGCCCGAGTCGCGCTATATCGAACCGCAACAGCAATACAGTTATCTATCTATTCCCTGTACTCTTATATAAATCCTTGTATTTGCTTGTTTAATTCAATCAACTTTGCTCTCACACACCAGTGCAAGGTCGGTTCAAATTCTTCACTAAACGCTTCCGCTATTACAACTACTTCACCTAGAGTTATCCCTTGCAAAGATCCTAAGGGGCTATCTCAGCCCAACATGGTATGAGAGCTGACAAGGGAAACTCTACTCTTTTTAATATCATTACAAGACATGGCAACAAACAAGGAAAGGAGCTCCCCTAATGGCTCCTCGGGCACTACTCCTACTCCACCGCCAGCCTCTGGCCTGCAGACAGAAGAAGGCACGGCAACAAGACCAAGAGGAACGTCAACCGAGACCCCCATGAACCACCCTTCGGACTTTGACCAGAACATGATGGAGAAATTTTTCTCCTTCATGTCCTTCTACGAACAACACCAGCAGTCGGGACCTGCACAAACACACAACAGCAACAACGGAGCGACACCCATGAGTCTTGATGGGTCGTCATATGCGCGAGGAAACCAGCAGCAGCAACCTACCTTTGCTCCGTACGAGCGCGGGTCAATCAGCTTCGTGCCCCACCCGCAACCTTCACCTGGACAAGAAAGACCACTGGACGCACTTCAAGTTCAGTCGCAGTTTGCACACGTCTTAAAACTGCAAACGTCAAGACCCTTCGACGGCAAAGACTTCTTTACCTGGTCCTTTGAATTCGAGCTGATGATGGAGGGCGCGCAGATACTCGGCTTCTTCGACGGGTCCCTGCAGTATCCAGCCAACGGGACACAATATGAAAAGCAGCAGTATACGTATCAATCAATGATGGCGTATACAATCCTATTGAGGAACGTGACACCAACTCAGCAGCAGAACATTCGCTCTTACCGGACCTTCGGCAACTCGGCGGAGCTCGCGTACAGCCATCTGAAGAACCTGTATCAAGCAACAGACAGTGTAAACCAGAGCAGGTTAATGGCGCAGTTGACGACAGTCGAAATGAAACCAGGAGAAAAAGGACTGGCGTATATCAGCCGATGTCGCGAACTGCGCGACAAGCTGCTTCGATGCGGAGGGTCAATCTCTGAAGACGCCTTCGTGACAGTCATCATTGGTGGGCTTGGTCCTCAGTGGCGCGCCACCAAAGCCATTCTTCGAGCCCACGGAAGAATCTCTGAAGCTGCACTCTGCGCCGAAATACATGCCGAGCAGCAAGATATGGACCTGCAGGAAGAACGACACAGGAAGAAAACGACAGTATCAGAGTTCGCATTCCACACTCAACGACGACACAGCAATTATAACAACCGACAGCAGCAACCGAAGATAGTACCTCCCTTCTGCCACATCTGCAAGACTTCAGGGCACCCGCGCACACACTGCCCGAATCGTCAACAATCAACGGCACCACAGCGACAACTTCGACCTTCAAGCTCCCAAATGGCTTCAACACAAGCAAGTGCGACGACCACTATTCAAGCTTCAACGACTTCACCCGGACAACCTGCACAAGGAGCAAGAAATATAATCAACTGCATGACGAAGATAACCGATTCATGTACAACCGAATCACCACCACACTACTCACCGGAAGAAGAGCTTGACAACAGAACGCCTCGCCGTGAGCTACTCCAGCCGAATCCAACGTACGCCGCCATCGCTCAAAGTGAACCGTCCGGCCAAGACACCTGGTTCTTGGACAGTTGCTGCGGGCAACACATGTGCTCGTCCGGGCGTTTCGTACAACGCGAACATCGACTCCAACGGGAAGTGATCATCACGGTTGCCAACAACCAAAACCTGCGCACACGAAGACAAGGAGTGGTACAGCTTCAGTCAAGAGAAACAAATGTCATACTGCACATGTCTAAGGTACTCATCGCTGAAGGACTCGGCTACAACTTACTGAGCGTTAGCCAGTTGATGGCGAAAGGAATTCATCTGGAAGCCGACAGCACGACCCAGGAGTTCAAACTTTACCACGGGAGAGGCGGTCTCTACATCGGGAAAGCAGTGCTGAAGAACAACGTCTTCGTCCTCGACTTCGTTCCTGACCTGGGCACTGCAGACAGCGACGCCATCGTGAATTTCACTGACTGGACACACCCTCCGGATCTCGACCCCGACTTCAGCCCAGGAGGCTTCTGGTACTCGCACACCATTCCTGAAGCAGAACGAACACGAGCATTAGCAACAATTCGACAATCGGCAGCAGTAACAACATCGGCAGCAGCAACAACATCAGCAGCAGTAACAACATCGGCAGCAGCAACAACATCGGCAGCAGCAACAACATCAGCAGCAGCAGGAACAACGACACCAGTCACAGTCGACGAAGCACCACCAACACCCGCGAAACAGCTGAATCCGACTCAACGTGAAGTCCACCGAAGCGCCAACCTCGTCGCCAGCTTTTACTCCAACTCCGACGCATATCAGCGTTCACCTGGACACCGCGCCTCTGAAGAGATCTGGCACGCACGAACAGGACATCCAAGCAACACGGTTTTGAATAACACGATAAGAGCAGGAGTCCTTGACAAAGATTCTCTACTTCTACCCGATGGCAGAGAACTCCAGAAGGCACGAGGGACTTGCCTTATATGTCCCGAAGCTGACTTACCTCATCGACCGTTTGCTTCACATCACAACCCGAGCGCTCCAGCGTACGCACCACTCGAAAAAGTCTACAGCGACATCCTCTACAATCGCGAGCCAGGACAAGTCAACTACAACTACACCATCACCTTCATCGACGCCGCCACTCGATACGTCTGGCATCGCAACCTACCCAGCCGCGACATGGCGCTCGCAGCATTCGCCGCCTGGCTACCGATAGCAGAGAGAGAGTCTGGAACACAACTGAAAAATTTCCAGTCAGACGGAGGTGGCGAGTACACCTCTCACCGCTTCAAGCAGTTCTTGGCGGAAAGGGGGATCAAGCAACTCCTCTCCCTTCCCTACGCACATCAGCAGCAAGGTGTTGCAGAACGACTGAACAGGACCCTGCAGAACAGCATGCGCAAACTATTACGTGGCATGCGGCTACCCAACCACCAGTGGCCAGCAGCAATGGACCACGCTGTCATGCTACACAACTTGTTGTCGTCGTCGTCACTCCCGAACAACGCATCACCGCATCTGCTGTGGACAGGGAAGCAGGGCAGCACGAAAATGTTACGAGTTTTCGGGTGCATGGTACAGTACAGACCCCCAGAAGCACGAGCGGGAAGATTTTCGCAACGGGCACAGTGGGGACTACACCTCGGCATCGAGAAAAATCACAACGCATGGAAAATCTTCGACGTCCACACAAAGGAAACAGTAGCAGCACGTGACGTGATCTTCTACGAAAGACTCACCCTTCAGACGTACCTCGCCAACTTGCACGAGAATCGGGACCTCACCAGTGGTTTTCGTGGTGACCGAGCCTTCGCGTCAGCAGCGGACGAAGCAGACTGGGATGAACAGAACGTCGACAACGCCTCAGAAGAAGCCGGACCTCTCCCATACTGCTCCGTCGACGTGCCCATGGATGAGGATAATCCTCGCGACAGTAACAACGCCGAAATCTTCTACCGTTTCGCCGACGATGGTTACGTAACACCTGTGACAGTCAACACCAACGAAGCAGAAAGGGTAGGGCCAAATTTCATGCCCGACCCAGAAACGGGAGACGAAGCAGCTTATCCCGAGGATCCAGAACTCCCTCGATACTCACAGACTGGGCTGCAAATCCTCGGCCTCGTCACCGCAGTCCACGGGAACACACGCAGCTCGCTTCCTAAGGAGCCTGCAACGGTTCAGCAGGCTCTGGGGGGGGAACACAGGGAGAAATGGCGTGAAGCCATGGATAGAGAACTGAAGGCATTAGAGGAACGCAACACTTGGAAGGTTGTTCCCGTAAGCGTGGCACGGAACAAAACCATCCTTACCGGGAAATGGGTCTTCCGCATCAAGACGAAAGCAGACGGCACGATCGAAAAATTCAAAGCACGCTGGGTCGTACGTGGATTCGACCAAGAGCAAGGACGAGACTTCACCGAGACCTTTGCTCCAGTCAGCCGCCACACGTCACTCCGAATTCTCCTCGCCATTGCCGCCATGAAGAAGAAGAAGTTACGGCAGATCGACGTCGCGAATGCCTTCCTCTACGCACCTGTGGATGCAGAAATCTACGTCGAGCTCCCGCACGGTTCCCACGGCGAACCCAACCGAATCTGTCAACTACTTAAATCGCTCTACGGGATCAAGCAGGCACCGCGACTGTGGCAGCAGTACCTGCACGCCCGTCTCATCCGCATCGGCTTTAGTCAACTACCTCACGACCAAGGCATGTACCGCCTCACTAAGGGAAGCGACTACGTTCTCCTGATCGTCTACGTGGACGATCTCCTCTACATTGGGTCAACCGACGGCATCGCCACGTGGTTCGAAGGAGAGCTCCAGAAAGACCTCACGCTCACGGTCTCCTCCACCGTTACACAGTACCTCGGGCTCAACATCCGCGAAGAAGAAAACGCCATCTATCTAAGCGCCGAGAAATACGCCGACACCATCGCGAAACGCTTCAGCCTCACACCAAGCGCCATCTCCACGCCCTACCGCTACACATCAGGAACCGAGAAGGAACGAACTACTCTACTAAAGCCCGCCGGCATACGCGACTATCAGAAGAAGCTCGGATGCCTGCTATTCGCCGCCGTCACCTGCCGTCCTGACTTATCCTACTCCGCAAGTCAGCTCGCCACCTATCTCAAGAAGCCTGAAGCTGAACACCTGGCGGAACTTGATCGCGCTCTCCACTACTTCGTCAGCACCGCGACGATCGGGCTAACCTACCACAAGAGCGCAGCTACACCGACTAAGCTAATCGGCTACGTCGACGCCGATCACGCCGGCGACACCGACAACAGGCGCTCACGCACCGGCTATGTCTACCGCCTTGAGCCTATCGGTCCTATCTCCTGGCAGTCGAGCAAGCAGGAGTTAATCGCACTATCTTCAGCAGAAGCAGAATATATTGCACTCTGCTCAGCCACCAAGGAGGGACTTTACCTTCGCGAACTACTGGAAGAAGCGAAGCTAGCCGAGTTACCCAGCTTCACCGTGTTCTGCGACAACCAGTCAGCAATTCGCATCGCCAACAAAAACGGCTTCGCAAACAAGACGAAACACATCGCCCTGCGCTATTTCTTCGTGAAGGACGAGATAGAAAAAGGGAAACTCGATCTGTCATACTGTCCAACATCCGAGATGGCAGCCGATTACTTGACCAAGAAACTCGGCAAGCAGAAGTTCGAATACTGCATGATGCTGACTGGACAAGGCCACGTCACCAGCAGTAACACTCCAGAAGCGAAGGGGAGTGTTGGAAACAATAAGTCCTAAGTGCGCTTCTGTCGTATCAAAATCCAAGGTACCAAGCGAAGCAGTCCCAATCGAAGCATCGAGTCAACCTCGGAGGTTAGGGTAACCGCCTGGAGGTTACGAGAAAGTCAAAGGTCGCTGACCTTTGACTCGACAATTACAGCGCGACAGTTAAGGACACACAACTGACTCGTTACAGAGCAGTTGCCCGAGTCGCGCTATATCGAACCGCAACAGCAATACAGTTATCTATCTATTCCCTGTACTCTTATATAAATCCTTGTATTTGCTTGTTTAATTCAATCAACTTTGCTCTCACACACCAGTGCAAGGTCGGTTCAAATTCTTCACTAAACGCTTCCGCTATTACAACTACTTCACCTAGAGTTATCCCTTGCAAAGATCCTAAGGGGCTATCTCAGCCCAACAACCTCAACATGCCATCATTGGCTCCCCTTGAGCCTTCTGTTGTTTTAGCACACCAGCATGTAATATCATATCCTCTCCAGCTAAGCAATTTTGCTCACAGAAGAATGGAGCTTCCATCTCTGCAGAGATGTTTATTGATACAAAATAATGGAAGGGGCTGGAATGAAAAGTGGCAACTAACACTTCAGCCACGACTACACATCCCCACAAATCACACGTGTTTTTTATGTTTTAACATTATGTCTGCTAAGAGGTGTTTCAGATTCCCTATTATTTCACCAGAAACTAAAAATACAGCACAAGTCATGCCATTGTGCTGTCCTAGTGAGCTGTTTGGTTTATGGTAGATGTAAGTAAGCTCAAATGCGTGTATGAATGGTACGGACCTGTAACATCTTCTGAGGACATTTTCAGCACTGACATGTGCTGCGGCGCGGACGCAAATCCCTCGCACATTTGCTGAACCAACGGAAGGAACTCCCTCCGCTCCGCACTGCCGCCCCTCTTCATGACATCATCATCCGCGCAGCATTACTCATATGAGCATGCCCGATGCGACTCCCGGATAAGCTTTCAGATGCTGCTATAAATTCCCAGAGCCATGAATCTTTCGGACACAATAATCTACATCACCTGAAATAGTGGCCTCCTGTAGCTTCTCGGGTCATCATAGCAGGCAGCGGAAAGCGATCAAGACATCGGGAATGAAGATCCTCGCATCTCTTCCATTGTTGCTGCTCCTCGCTTCAACTTCAGGTGATGCGAGGACATTCTTGAAAGTGCTTGCGCTTGCGCGACATACTATTTTACATTCGAATATGGATCCTGATGCTCTGTATTTCATGCAGGGTCATGGGTTGTCCGTGCAACTGGAGCTGCGTCAGGCCTACCTGACGGATCCACGTGCTACTACGACAAGAACTACACCCCCATGAAGCCCTTATGCAAGCGAGACTTCGGGTACGCGGGTCCCTCTGTGAGAATGTCATGACACCACGGGCATAGTTGTTGACTGGAGTGAATTTGATATCATTTTGTATCCAATGCCGTCTTTCTGCTAATTCGATTGATCGTTTCAGGTGTTTGGTTACCAAGGTGGTGAAAAACTCACCGCGTTTCTTGTTCAAGGGGAAATGCGCCTCCGACGTGCCTGGTTAGCCATCGATTATCAACAATGTGTTCTGCGACCCTCTCTACTGCAAGAAACGCTTGAAAATACCGCAGAGTATTTCGTCTTCCAACAATTTCTCCGTTTTCTGTTCCTGACGTCGTGAAACAGTGGATCAGATAAATCAGAAGTACTGCATGTTCCGCTCCGTCATGTTCGCACCGGGTACTAGCGGCATCACGGCTTCGACCATCTGTCCGCGCTGCACGTGCCAGAAGCTCAAGTCAGGCCCCATTTGCGTGTGTCCGCTGGGAAAGCTGTGCAAGCAGGACGCGGTGGGGCGATGGAAGGACGGCACGCGATGCAAGGACACCAGACAGAACCAGTTGAGTCGCGTGGGTTGTAAGATTAACCAGCAGTGAGAATCATCTGACTTGCTTCAATGCAACTCCTGGATGCGCTACCCGTTAATGACGTTTTTCTTCATTCTCTGTGCATTAATTTTACTTCTTGTTTCTCCGTCAACCACCAGGTGTGAAGTATCACGGTTTGTCAACGACACATTCATTGGCAACTGCATCAACAGTGCTCGTGAGCTCCATTCCCCTTACGTGCCCCTTCCGTCAGCATTTTTGTGCTAATATGCCATTTGGACCCTCGCACAGATGTCATTGTGTATGGTATTGTTGATTACTTCATCGACCGTCCTTTTAGGCTCACCGTGTCCTCTTCAATGTGGTTTTTCCTCCGTTTCCCTCAGAGGGTCCAAATGAGTGCGTGAGTGCTGGACCAGGATGGGGTCCAATTTTCGTGAAGAACGGAGCTCAGAACATGATCAAGACTGGCGACCTCTGCCAGCGCTGCTCCTGCATCCGTGGGAAGTTTGTCAACTGCAAGCCTGTGCCTGGATGCGTCAGTAAGTGCCAAGTTATTCCATTATAGTCCTGTGCATGGTCGCCACAAAACAAAGTACATGAAAAGCTGTGCCCTAGTAAACTTAATCTGAATGTCTCTCCCTTTTGGTCCCCCCTCCCAGTGTGTGCACCCAAGACTTCTAGCAACACCAAGCAGCAGTGCAGCCAGTGCTGCAAGAAGGCGACCACTCCAGCAGCTGTTGAGCTGTGCAATACAGCGTGCAACAGAGTCGTTATAAGTGCATGAAGTTAACTATCTCGTCTATGTGGATCAAAACACACCATCCACTGCTGTTTCCTGCTTCGATTTTGGTTCCGTATGACAGGTGTAATGCAATATGCGGATATGTAATAAGATTGCATAAATGCATAACCACCTTTTTTTGGTAGGTTTGATTGCTCAAAACATGAGTACTTTCATAGATTTCATCCCACAACGACGTTATAGATTATGTACAGTTTCGTACCATTATCTGGTAAATCGACGTGTCCAGAACCCACCCACCCACCTTCCTCGAGTTGTGTTGCGATGCGACGTTGGACAGGGTGGTGGGGAGGAGCAATGCACCAAGCTTCTATTGATGGCTACTGCTCCTCCCTTCGCCCCCCAATGCACCAGTCTCGGAACAATGCAGGCCAACCATAACTTAGGCTAGCCATCCTTAGGCTTCTATGTTTTCGAGTTGCGACAACACACGCAAGTAGACTGTTATCCAAATGTGTTTACGGCTGCTGCATATTTATTGATCGATTCTACATTCGGTCGGAAGGTCTAGGCACGAACGTTGATCGATTTAGTCGAATCAGCCGCCTTATGACGGAGAACATCGGCCTGATCAGCAGCATGGCGACCGAGGGCGCAGACCGCAAGGATCAAGAAGAGGGTCAAGTGCACGTTCCCGAGGTAATTCCGTCCTGGCGCGAGACTCGGCCGTAGAATGCGGAGCACTTCGGTTTGTTCATTTAGGCATCTAAGCTTACCGTTCCTAATCGGAACGCAGTATCGACAATCCCTTAGTTTGATGTCGACCGTCGAGAATTAACGTTCGTATACTCGTTAGATGAGGTCGGTCGCAGCTGGAATTGTGTGTCTGGCGTTCAGCTAACCCGTGCGTGTCCATGCGCTAGTGATCGCAGGAGCGAGGATGGAGTAAATTTTGGGCGTACGTCGGACCTGGATTCCTCGTCGCCATAGCCTACATCGACCCGGCGAATTGTGAGTCGCTTAGGCTGCTTGTCAGGTGCTCACTCACAGTATTGCCTACACTGTTGTTCTTGCATGCACTCAACTTCCGTGCGGATCGGAGCACACTATCCCTTCCCGTCGTGAGTGCACATTCCTGCGAAATCGGGACGGTGCTGATGCCCTCGCTCTCACCGTCTCTTCCTGTCTCTTCACCCCTTCCCCTTTCTCTCTTGTCTTTGCTTCTCTCCTTGTGCAGTTGAAAGCGATCTCAAGGCAGGAGCAGCCTACCAATACTCGGTGAGATACGGCTAAAGACTTTTCATTTTCTTTTCTACCAACCGTCAGTAGCATACCGGTTCACAATCACGTGACTTTTGAGTTGACTCCATTGTGACAATGTGCTGTGCATGATCACTTACGCTTCATCCATCACATGCGGATCTCTTTCTTCCTGATTTTCCATCTTCAGCTCCTCTGGGTTCTGCTGCTGGCATCACTAGCGGGCCTCCTGATACAGTCACTGTCAGCCAACCTCGGTATAGTCACAGGTTAGTTCTCGACCCAGCAGCAGGGAAGAGTCAAGGAGCCACAGCATGGCCCCGCATCTACCAATTCTGTCTCTCTTCAAGCCGGCATGCCATTCCATGCCTTATTATGCCATGCCATCTCACGCCATGCTATGAGATGCCAACCCATACCATGCCATGCCATGCCATGCCATGCCATGCCATTCTATGCTGTTTCCATGCCATGGCTTTACCTGATACAGCCTCACTTCATGTGTACATGGCTCTGATTTTCTGTGCTGTGCCGTGCTGTGCTGTGTTGTGCTGTGCTGTGTTGTGATATGCTATGCTGTGCTGTGCTGTGCTTTTCTGTGATGCGTTGTGCTGTGCGGTGCTGTGTGGTGCGGGGCTGTGCGGCAATGCACGATGGCAGGCAAGCATCTGGCGCAGCACTGCAGGGCGGAGTACCCCCGAGGTGTCAACCTCGCGCTCTGGGTGATTGCAGAGATTGAGATCATCGCCAGCGACATCCCAGAAGGTGTCTCCTCCTCTCCCTCGTCTCTCGTTCTCTCCCTCGTCTCTCGTTCTCTCCCTCGTCTCCCCTTTTCTCCCCCTCTCTCCTTCTCTCCCTCTCTCTCCTTCTCTCCCTCGTCTCCCCTTTTCTCCCCCTCTCCTTCTCTCCCTCTCTCTCCTTCTCTCCCTCGTTTCTTCGCCTCTTCCTCCTCTCCCTTCCGCTCGTTGCCTGGATTGGAATGTATGGCGTGTATCCACCACTGCTCAACACTTGCGCACACTCGCTTCTGTATGGCTTGCACATGCCTTTGCACTCAATCTTTTCTCTGCAATGTATGTGTGTGTGTGTGTGTGTGTGTGTGTGTGTGTGTGTGTGTGTGCATGCATGCTTGTGTGTGTTTGTGTGTGCATGCATGTGTTTATGTGCGGATGCATGTGTGTGTGCATGTGCGTCTGTGCATGCGCGAGCGTGTGCGTGCGTGTGCACGTGAGTGTGCATGTGCGTGTGTGCGCCTGTGCATGCATGGCAGTGATAGGAACGGCCTTTGCACTGAACATGTTGTTTGGCATTCGACTATGGGCGGGAGTAATCATAACTGGCTTCAGCACGCTCCTCTTCCTTGGCCTCCAGCGATTCGGGGTGCGTTCATGTGTGCAGGTGATGGTGCATGTATGCATGTGTGCGTGTGATGGTGCATATGTGCATATGTGCATGTTTGTGTGCATGTTTGTGTGCATGTGTGCTTGTTTGTTTGTGTGCATGTGTCCTTGTTTGTGTGCATGTGTGCATGTGTGCATGTTTATGTGCATGTGTGCATGTGTGCTTGTTTGTGTGCATGTGTGCATGTTTGTGTGCATGTGTGCATGTGTGCTTGTTTGTGTGCATGTGTGCATGTGTGTGTGCATGTGTGCTTGTTTGTGTGCATGTGTGCATGTGTGTGTGCATGTGTGCATGTGGGCATGTTTGTGTGCATGTGTGTCTGCATGTGTGCATGTTTGTGTGCATGTGTGCATGTGTGCATGTGTGTGTGCATGTGTGCATGTGTGCATGTGTGTGTGCATATGTGTGTGCATATGTGTGTGCCTGTGTGTGTGCATGTGTGCATGTGTGTGTGCATGTGTGTGTGCATGTGTGTGTGCATGTGTGTGTGCATGTGTGCATGTGTGCATGTGTGTGTGCATGTGGGCATGTGTGTGTGTTCATGGGCTTCAGCACGCTCCTCTTCCTCGGCCTCCAGAGATTCGGGGGGGCCCTTCTCCCTTCTCCCTGACCCCACATTTCTCCTCCTCACACACTCTTCTATTTGAGCTGTCCGAATTTGTTCACAAGCATGTGCCTATTGTGTGTTCTGCTCTTTCAGTCATCCTCTCGTCGACCTTCTAACTTGACTCAGCACCGTTGTTCTTGTGCTCACCTCCTCGCCCCTCCCCCCTTCCATCTCCTCCGCACCTCCTCACCTCCTCATCCCCTCCTCACCGCCTCCTCACCTCCTCTCCTCATTCCCTCTGCATGTGCGCAATATGGAGGTGTTCATAGCACCGCTCGTGCTGGTGATAGCTTGCTGCGTCTTGAAGCGACTCAGTGCCTTCTTTCCCCTCCCTACCCCACCCCCCGCCTCCCTCTCCCCCCACAGGTGCGCAATCTAGAGGTGTTCATAGCGCTGCTGGTGCTGGTGATAGCGTGCTGCTTCTTGAAGCGACTCAGTGCCTTCTTTCTTCCCCACACCTCACCCCCACTCACTCCCCCCTCTGTCCTTCAGGTGCGCAACCTAGAGGTGTTTATAGCGCTGCTGGTGATGGTGATAGCGTGCTGCTTCTTCATAGAGATGGGCCATGCTCCAGTGGACGGCATGGCAGTGCTGGAGGGCATGTTCGTCCCCCGCATACAAGACCTGGGGGCGCTTGCGATTGCCATCTCTCTCATCGGCGCGCTTGTCATGCCGTAAGGAGGAAGGAATTGGGGGGTTGGGTGCATGGATGGCATGGCGGTGTAGAGGGCATGTTCATCCCGCGCATTCAGGGTCTGGGGGCGCTCGCCATTGCCATATCTCTCATCGGCGCGCTTGTCATGCCGTAAGAGGGAGTCGTGGTGTGAGATGGTGTGAATGGAGTGATTTTGCAGGAAGAAGAAGGAGGTTTTGTGTTGGACTCGTGGCGTAAGTCGTGGGTTTGCAACACACACACACACACACACTCATGTTGTGGGTTTGCAACACACACACACACACACACTCATGTTGTGGGTTTGCAACACACACACACACACTCATGTTGTGGGTTTGCACACACACACACACACACTCATGTTGTGGGTTTGCACACACACACTCATGTTGTGGGTTTGCACACACACACTCATGTTGTGGGTTTGCACACACACACACTCATGTTGTGGGTTTACAACACACTGCATTTGTGTGCCCCAAGATATCATGGCATATCACCTCGACCGTCCTTCACCTATGTAGCTCTAGTCTTTTAAGAAGATCACACATTCTTGATCCAGATTTATTCTCCACCTATGTTGACCTTTTTTCCGCTCTTTCCCCCCCTCGTTTCTCCCTCTTCCCCTCACTCCCACTCTTTACCCCTCCTCTCTTCATTTCCCGCCCCTCACCTCTCCCTCCCCACCCTCCCAGGCACAACCTATTCCTGCACTCTGCTCTCGTGCTTAGTCGCAAGCACCAGCGCACCGCTGCAGGCATCAAGGTGCGCTGCACTGGTTTGTTGGGGTTTTGAATGGGCCTGGAATGTGCTGGGTGCTAGGCTATGGTGGGAGTTAGGCACAACCTATTCCTGCACTCTGCTCTTATTCTTAGTCGCAAGCACCAGCGCACCGCTGCAGGCATCAAGGTGCGCTGCTCTCACTGCTGGGGTTATGCTGAGAGCAGGACGGCGGCGGGGGCTGGTAGTGTGGCATGTGCAGCTGATGCGAACCTGATGTGGACGGGTGTGTTACATCCGTTTGCATGTGTCGTTTTCCGCTCTCCTGCACTTTCCACTCTGCCATGGTTGTGTTTCGTGCTTTCTAGCCAGGCTTGACCTGACTCTGTCTGTCAAACCCCACACTGTTCCCCCCTTTCACTCACCCCTGCTATCAGGACGGGTGTCTCTACTCGCTGCTGGAGGTGGCAGCGGTGCTCATCATCAGCATCGCCTTCCACTGTCCCTTCCTTCACTTCCCACGTACCAGGATTGTCTCGACTCGACTCAGTTGTTCAACCACACACCGTCTCTCCACCCCGCTCCTCCCCCTGCCATCAGGACGGGTGCCTCTATTCCCTACTGGAGGTGGCAGCGGCGCTCATCATCAGCTAAGCCATCAATGTGGCTGTCATCTGCATGGGCGGGGTGGTCTGCTCCCTCCTCATCCCTCCCCTCCCCCACTCTCTCCCCCCACACCTCTCCGCCCTGCCAGGAAGGGTGCCTCTACTCATTATTGGAGGTGGCAGCGGCGCTCATCATCAGCTTCGCCATCAACGTCGCCGTCATCTGCGTGGGCGGCACAGTCTGCTGTGCTCTCCCACCTCATCCCTCCCAACTCCCCTTCCCCCACACCTCTCCGCCCCTGTCAGGACGGGTGCTTGTACTCCCTACTGGAGGTGGCAGCGGCGCTCATCATCAGCTTCGCCATCAACGTGGCAGTCATCTGTGTGGGCGGGGCGGTCTGCTCCGCACCGGACCTCTCCCCGGACGTGCAGGCGAGCTGCAGCGACATCAGCCTCAGCAACGCCTACTTTCTGCTGCGCGACGTGCTGGGCGCGTGGGCCTCCACGCTCTTTGGCGTCGCTCTGTTAGCCTCAGGGCAGAGTTCCACCATCACGGGGACGTACGCGGGGCAGTATGTGATGTCGGGGTTCCTGGAGCTGCACCTGGCCTCGTGGCTGCGCAACCTGCTCACTCGCCTCGTTGCCATCGTGCCTTCTCTCGCTGTCGCCATTGTGGCTGGCTCTACGGGCGCCGGCAACCTCATCATTGCCTCCTCGGTGGGTTGAGAAGGGTAGAGAGGAGGGGAGAAATATGGCCGGCAATTTTTTTTTTTTTTTTTTTTGAAGGACTTCCTTTTGATTGTTGCTCCTTGCATTCCGTTTGTGTCTTCCAGCTTCCTTGCATTTGGTTGCTTCTCCTCGTTCACTCTGCGCTGTTTTTCCACGTCACTCTTCCTTGATCCTCTGCTAGCATCGTCTTCTGCCTACATCCCATCTGCCTAACTCCCATTTCATGGTCTTCACCCCCCACCGTGCACGCCCACAGATCATCCTGTCGTTTGGCCTGCCCTATGCGCTCATCCCTCTGCTCAAGTTCACCAGCAGCCCTGTCAAGATGGGGCCCTTCACCAACCACCCCACGGTGAGCGGAGTGTGACACAGTGAGTATAGCGGTACACAGTGGGCAGAGCACGACACAGTGAGCAATCCACAACAGAACAAAGCATGCCACAGTTAGCCTACAGATACTTCTACCTATGGAACTCACTCTGCCCCAAGATTGTTGGCAGCGCACGGAAAATCGTTGCATCATATCCATGTGCATGCTTCCACTGCCTCTTTTCATCACACCTTGCATGTGTCCATCTGTTCCCTTCCTTCCGCTCCTTCCTTCCAGGTCACTGTAGCTGCATACATCATCGGCACTGTAGTTATCTTTGTTAATTGCGTGCTCGTGGTGCAAGCCTGTGTGGAGTACCTGGTATCAGACCACATTCCCCAGGCCGCCCGGATCCCCCTTGGGATTGCCATAGCCCTTGTGCTCCTCATCTACGTCGTCTCCCTCGCGATGCTCGCACGGCGGCCTGTAACGGAAGTTACGTACATTTCGGCAAATGAGGGGTCGAGTGTTGAGCTTGATGCTTACATGGGCTCTCCCCCTCATGACTTTGGGCGGAGTGGGGGGGATGGTGAGGATGGTGAGAGGGGAGAGTTGGAGGATGGAGAGGAGAGGAGAGAGGAGGGGAGGGAGGAGAGAGGGGAGGGAGGATCGATAGCGATGACAAATGGGGTGGAGGGGAAAGGTGGTGATGGGGGAAGGGACGAAGGGGATGATGGAGAGGTTGAAACGAGGGAGGGATTGCAAGAGGAGTTGCTAGAAGCCGGGCACATGGATAGCTCCTCGCTAGCCCAAAAAACATGACCAGACTGTCAGCTTGCTTGTGTGTTTTCATGCTTTATGCTACACAATATCATGTTTCATTTTTTACAAATTGTGTATGATGAAATGGGAGACTCCATAGCTGCGTAACAGATACTGGCGAGTCAACAGATCAAGCTACCTAGAAAAGGGCTGGCGGCTCTGTACCGAGCACTGACAGTCATTGTAATGTTGACGATTTTCGTCGCTGCTGGTAGACAGTCCACGCGCTGACAGCCTCGCGTCGCGTGGCTTCTCCGATGGCTCAGCGCCACGTGGCCGCGGCTGTCGCCGCGCGAAGGGGCTTATTCCATCGCGCGTCTCGACTTAGCGACGTCATTGACGGCGCTTGTCGCGGCCAGCCGTACGATGTGTTCATCCGATCCGTCGCATCTCGAAGCGGGGATCCTGATCGCGCGCTCCTCCCATCAATCCCGATCCTCCCCGCGACAATACGATCGCACGATGCTGGGTGTGACCATACCGAAAGCACGTCTCTTCGTTTCGGGAACCATTTTTTCAGCCGACTCTATTCCCTTGCTGCAAGCACATCCGCCAACGTTCGTGAGGGGCGCGAGGGGAGTGACTTTAGCGGTGGTAGGATGAAGCGGGAGCATGACGCGCACGAGGCGGTAGTGTACGCACGGAATCTCAACGAGTACAACGCCGCGGCGCTCGAGCTGTCGCGGTCCCGAAAGTGAGTCGCCGAGGCGCATCGGATTCACTCGCGACGCGGATCACGTGACGATAGATGCTCGCGCGCTATCCTCTCGGTTCTATCGCCGCGCCATCACACATTCCAGATCCTTGGTAGTACCGCGCATCACCTCCGCGGATCCTTCTCCGCCTCACGTTCATCCGCCAACCACCCCCCTGCCCCATTCCCCGCGCCACACCCCCCGTCCCGCCCCTCCCTCCCCCAGGCCATACCTACTGCGCACGCTGTACGGCGACATGCTGATGGACGGTGTGCAGCCCAACTTCGTGACGTTCCATGCCGCCATCACGGCGTGCATGCGCGCCAACCGCCTGCACGACCTCGTCTTCTTCTTCAACCAGATGCGCGCGCGCGGCATCACGCCCGATGTGAGCAGCAGGTTTAGAAGAAAGCATTCGTTTAACTGTGTAGACGGCGTACAGTTGCAGTGGGCACGCAGAGAAGGTGGTTGATGCGGCCTCCTCCCCGCTACCACTCCCACCAAATCAGCGCTACAAATTCAAGTGCGTCATGACGGCGTACAGTTGCAGCAGGCATGCGGAGAGGGTGTTTGTTGCTGCCTCCTCTCCCTTCCTCCACATTCCCCCCACCCTTCCCCCCTCCCCCTTCCCCCCACCCAGCGCTACATATTCAACTGCGTCATGACGGCGTACAGCCGCAGCGGGCACGTGGAGAGGGTTTTCAGGGTGGACTGGGACATGCGCGCTGCAGGGCGCCCGCCCAACATCCGCACCTACCATGCGCTACTCACCGCCTGCACCACCTCTGGCCGCTTCAACAAAGCGTAATCAACTAACCTACCTGCCCTGCCCTGCCCTGCCACTTGACTGCTCCCTATCCTCTCCTCTGCCCCCTCAACATCCGCACTAACCACGCGCTGCTCACTGCCTGCACCACCACCGGTCGCTTCGACAAAGCGTACTGCCCTGCCCTTTCGTCCTCTCCCCTCCGCTCGCCTCCACTGCCGTCCTCTCCTCTCTGTGCAAGCAATGGAGCATCGCCTAGTGCTGCGCCCCTCCTGTATCCAACGGGCCATTGATCTGTTGCTCCCATGGCCCCATACGCCCAGCGCAGAGGTGCAGGAGCGCATGAAGAAGGACGGCGTGGCGATGAACAAGTTCTGCCACGCTGCTCTCATCGCCATGCACCAGCGCGTGCGCCCCTCCTCGCCCCGCATCGTTGCCAAGGTATGGTGGGGGAGGGGTGGGGGGAGCGCCGAGGGGAGAGGGGAGAGGGGATGGGCGCATTGTTGGGGGGATGGTACTGGGGGGATGGGTGTGTTGTTGGGGGGGATGGGCGGAAGGACGGATGTGAACTGTGGTGGCGAACGCAAATCACTGTCACTGTCACCGCACACATTGCGTCCTTGCTATCCTTTCAGCGTAGCTGCATGGCAACCTTCAAGCGCTCTTTTTCTGCCTTCCTCCACCTCTCTCCCCCTCCCTTTTGAGTCGACTCAAAAGTTCAAGCGCTCTTTTTCTGCCTTCCTCCACCTCTCTCCCCCTCCCTCCCACTTTTTGCCCCCCCTCAATCCTCTCACTCCTCTCCCTTCCTCACTCCCCTCACTCCCTCGTCCCCCCTCACCCCCCCCCCCCCCCCACTCCCCTCCTCCCCACAGATATTCTCTCTCGTGGAACAGTCCCTGACAGCACCCACCTACAGCATTGAACCCGACTCCATGCCCCCCACCACACCCGCCACAACCACCACTGCTGGCACCACTGATTCCCCTGCTGCCACTGCCACTGATCCCACCACTGATCACCCCGCTGCTTCCACCCTTGAATCCGCTGCTGCTGCCGCCGCGGCCTCAGATTTCACCAGCAGCGCCACCCACGCCACAGGAGCTGCTGAGCCCGCCCACACAGGAGCTGCTGACGCCCCCCACACAGGAGCAGCTGCTGCCGTGCCTGCTGGTGGTGGCATGGGCGTGGGTGCGGGGGCGGGGTCAGAGGAGCATACTGAGATGGAGGAGATGGCAGAGCAGGAGGGCGGGGTGGGCATGGGCCTGGATGACATGGATGACATGGGTGACATGGGTGACATGGGTGACATGGGTGATTACGGTGGGCGGGAGGAGAGGGCGGGAAGGGCGAGAGGAGGAGGCGGGCTGGTTTATGCGAATGCGGATCTAGTGGTGCACCGCGCGGCAATCAGGGCGTTCCTGGACGCACACCAGCTGCAGGTGCGCCCTCGGTATGCTCAGGTGTGCTTTCAGTTAGCTCGGTGTGCTGTAGGTTGACTCAGTGTACTTTAGGAGAGGGGGGATGTGCGGTGTTTTCAGCGTGGCTGCTGATGTGCTGTGAGGGGCAATATCTGAGTCACTTTTGAGAATTCTAAATATATATGTGCAGAGAAATGGTGATACCTGCTTTTTTAAGGATTTGCTTGTGTTTGCATGGTCACGTGTGTCTGTGTGCGCCCGTGTGTGTGTATGTGTTCGTGTGCGTGCATGTGTGCATGTGTGTGCATGCATGCTCCATCCCTCCCATGCATGCTCCATCCCTCCCATGCATGCTCCATCCCTCCCATGCATGCTCCATCCCTCCCATGCATGCTCCATCCCTCCCATGCATGCTCCATCCCTCCCATGCATGCTCCATCCCTCCCATGCATGCTCCATCCCTCCCATGCATGCTCCATCCCTCCCATGCATGCTCCATCCCTCCCATGCATGCTCCATCCCTCCCATGCATGCTCCATCCCTCCCATGCATGCTCCATCCCTCCCATGCATGCTCCATCCCTCCCATGCATGCTCCATCCCTCCCATGCATGCTCCATCCCTCCCATGCATGCTCCATCCCTCCCATGCATGCTCCATCCCTCCCATGCATGCTCCATCCCTCCCATGCATGCTCCATCCCTCCCATGCATGCTCCATCCCTCCCATGCATGCTCCATCCCTCCCATGCATGCTCCATCCCTCCCATGCATGCTCCATCCCTCCCATGCATGCTCCATCCCTCCCATGCATGCTCCATCCCTCCCATGCATGCTCCATCCCTCCCATGCATGCTCCATCCCTCCCATGCATGCTCCATCCCTCCCATGCATGCTCCATCCCTCCCATGCATGCTCCATCCCTCCCATGCATGCTCCATCCCTCCCATGCATGCTCCATCCCTCCCATGCATGCTCCATCCCTCCCATGCATGCTCCATCCCTCCCATGCATGCTCCATCCCTCCCATGCATGCTCCATCCCTCCCATGCATGCTCCATCCCTCCCATGCATGCTCCATCCCTCCCATGCATGCTCCATCCCTCCCATGCATGCTCCATCCCTCCCATGCATGCTCCATCCCTCCCATGCATGCTCCATCCCTCCCATGCATGTGCCACCACTCCCGCCCATGCATGCAGGCAGCATTCCGTCTGGTGCGAATGATAGAGGAGAGTGGCACTGTCCCGGATGCTGCCCTGCAGACTCTCCTCTTCAGGTGGGTTCCTGCGCCTCTCATGGCATGCCATCGTATGGCATGGCATGGCATATTGATCCATGGCGATGTGTTTCTGTCACGCAGGTAAAATTCTGCATCCGGGCTATTATTTGTTCTTGTTGATTGCCCTCACTGTTCTCATTGCACGTGCTGGTGCATGTGCATGTGCATGTGCATGTGCATGTGCATGTGCATGTGCATGTGCATGTGTACACACACACATGCACGCACACACACACACACGCACACACGCATGCATCAGGGTGCATCTGCAGGCGGGCAACGAGGCAGAGGCGCTTAAGCTGGCAGACCTCTATTACGGCCCCAATGCGCGCCCCTACATCGACCAGTTCGTGGTGAGCCGTCAGCACTGCAGCACTGCAGCTTTTAGGCAGCGCTGAGGCAGTGTTGGAGATTTTCAGCCACGGAGAACTGCTCATGCCTCAATGGACATTGCATTGATCAGTTGAGCCATGACCACTGATGCAGTGAGCACTGATGCAGTGAGCACTGATGCAGTGAGCACTGATGCAGTGAGCACTGATGCAGTGAGCACTGATGCAGTGAGCACTGATGCAGTGAGCACTGATGCACTATCCTTCCCCCACTCTCATTTCCCCTCTCTTGGTCTCCTTTTCTCCTCCCACCTTCACGCGCCACCACCATGCCGTGCTGTGCCCTGCCATGCCATGCCATGCCATGCCATGCCGTGCTGTGCCCTGCCATGCCATGCCACCCGTCCAGCCTGAAGGAGTTGTTGAGAGTTCCCATTATTCCCCGCATTGCTGATCCTCCTTTCTCCTCCCGTCTCCACCACCCCATCATTCCATCCGTGCCAATACACACCACCCGTGCCAGCAAGCCATCTCGTACAGTCTGAGGGAGCTGCGCCCCATCGGAATGAATGTTGCCCTGCGACTGCTGGTAACCACCCTCTCTCGCCCACTCTCGCCCTCATCTCACCTTCCAACATGCCCACATCCCGTCCTCTTCTTTCACGTATCACTACCCCGCGTCTTCTCTCAGCGTCTTCTCTCAGCGTCTTCTCTCAGCGTCTTCTCTCAGCGTCTTCTCTCAGCGTCTTCTCTCAGCGTCTTCTCTCAGCGTCTTCTCTCAGCGTCTTCTCTCAGCGTCTTCTCTCAGCGTCTTCTCTCAGCTCGGCTCCCCCACACTCCCGGCCGGATCGCTTTACCCCCCTCATGCATCGTCTATCATGCCCTTGCAGCCTATCTGCATGTGACAATCCGACTCACTCAGACCCCTGCACCCATCTGCACCCCCCTGCACGCCTCTGCATGTGGTCACACCAGGAGCTGTTTTTCAACCACGGCTTTTACTTCACGCGCAAGCAGGGTAGCCAGCTATTGCAAGAGGCGCTCACCAGCGATGTGAGTGTGATGTCATATGGGCGAGCAGTCATATGGGCGAGCAGTCATATGGGCGAGCAGTCATATGGGCGAGCAGTCATATGGGCGAGCAGTTATATGGGCGAGCAGTCATATGAGTGGGCATGCAGAAGCACCGTATGGTGAATTGTAGGATGAACCATGTGTCTGTTCCCCCCCACCCCCCCCTCCCCTGGTTCTCGCAACATGCAGAGGCGCAGCATGGCGGCAGCAGAAAGGCTGTTTGACCACGTGGTGGCGAAGCACCAGGCGCCCGAGTTTGACGCCGTGCTCGACTTCATGCGCGCTCTCCGGGTGAGTGTCATGGGACGGGCTTCAGGGTGAGAAGGGGCTCTCACGGGCGCCTGAGTTTGTCCGCGTGTAGTGAGTCGAGTTTTGAGTCGACTCAAAACTCGACTCTCCGGGTGAGTGTCATGGGACGGGCTTCAGGGTAAGAAGGGGCTCTCACTGGCGCCCGAGTTTGACACTGTGCTTGACTTGACTTCAGTGCAGAGGATGAGGAGGAAAGGACTGTTTCAGATTAGTGCGGGCAGTGAGTTTGGGGACAGGCTCTTCGGGGAAAAGAAGGTTGCTTGATTTCTTGCTGCCTTACGGCTCTTTCTTTCTCATGGCATTGCAGATTGCCAAGGTTTTGTGCAGTCTAGGTACTTGCTGACCTGTCTCTTGGTATGTCCATGAACCCACTTGTGCATCCCTCCCTGCTGTTGCAGCGTCGACAAACTCCCAAGACCGATCAGCGGTGGTTGGTGGTCCAAGATCTCATCAAGCGGCGGCGGAACATCCGAGGGATGTGGATGAAGGGAATGCAGGCTGAAGGCCGTGAGCATGAGTCACGGCTATCGGTGGAAGAGGATGAGGTGTGATGTTGGAGATGATGATCTCTGGAGTAGAAGGGCGGTTGACGCCAAAAACCCGCAGAATAGAATATGTAGCGTAAGACATTGGCGTATTTGACTGACATCAGCAGCAGGCAGAAAGACAGAACTGGTTAGATGATTTTAAGTTGATCCATACACCACAGTTTCTAAATAAGGTCTTGGAATCTTCTAGTTGGTGTCACGGCCGTAAACTTCCCTCGTCCGGGTTTAACGAGTTTCTCGCTGTCCGCCACGCGACTAGGGACAGCCATCTCTCGAGCGTGCGACCCGCAGGTGTAACACCGTCGCTCCGTCGTGCTTCGCAATTCCTCTCGCTCTAGGGCTTATCTGTTCACCCCCATTCCTCTTACAAACTAAAATATCTCCCAACAGAAAGTTCTACATTTCGTCACTCTATCTTGTACCAGCCGTAGATCTTGTTTCGCTAGTAATTAGCTAGCTGCTTGGTTCCCGTCGTCTCATGCGCGCGGGCCTCTAGGGCATGGCCGGTCGCGGAATCGCGCTGACGAAGCCGGCATGGATGAAGGAGCAGGAGGAGAAGGCTAAAGCAGAAGCGGCCCGAGCAGCAGCCGTCGCCGCCTCCAAGGCCGGCACAGCAGGCGGAGGCGACGACACCGACAGCAGCGACGAAGAGGAGGAGGACGAAGCGACTCGACTCGCGAAGAAGCCCATCGGACCGGTCTGCCCGGCCAAGTGCTCCGCCGCGGGATCCGGCGTCGGGGGCGGATCGGCGGGTGCGCCCGTGTCCTTCGTTATAGTCCTGAAAGACGAGGACGGGCGGCGGATCTTAGCGGGCGGCGCGAAGGTAACGGTGAAGGTGACACCTAAGGCGGGCGTGCCTGGGCAGGAGCAGATCGCAGCGATCAAGGACCACGGCGACGGGTCGTACACGGCGACTTACACCGTACAGCACCGAGGAGATTACACGGTCAACGCGGAGGTCAACGGCAGTCCCATCATGGGCAGCCCGTTCCCGGTTTTCTTCAGCGCCGCTACAGCCGGTCAACCGGCGTCAACGCCGCTTCCGGTGGCGGTCAACGCGGCGCCGGCGCCTCCGCTGATGCCGACGCCGCAACTGCCGACGCCGCAGATGCCGGCGCCGGGCATGCATAACCCGTTGATGGCGGCGGCGCTGCAGTTCCGCGGGCTGCTCCCGACCATGGGAGGAATGCCCTTTACCAGCCCGTACCCCGGCATGGCTGGTGGCGTGCTTCCCGGAACCGGTACGATAGGAACTGGGAATATTTGTTTTTGTTTACAACGTGAAATCTGGGGCAAATAAAGAACAGGCGTGCCTGCTATTATTGTGCTTTTCGGCTCGATTTTTTTCAAATCCATCCTGCTTGTCCGTAAACATGTATCGATGTTTTTTTTTTCCCTTCCTTTCCCGTGTGTGCTGAACATCGTAGGAGGATTGACGAACATGCCTCTTGCGCCATCAGCGGCGGCGATGGCGGCGGCGCAGAGCATCATGGCGGTGCAAGCCATGCAGGCGCAGGCGCAGGCGCAAGCACAGGCGCAGGCGCAGGCGCAAGCGCAAGCTCAAGCGCACGCGCAAGTGCACGCACAGGCGCAGGCGCAGGCTCAGGCGCAAGCGGCGGCGGCAGCGGCGGCGATTCAACAGCAGAAGCTGCTGCAGCAGAAGAGCGAATACATCGAGGACTTCTATTGTAAGTGCGCTTACCTCCCCGCACCCCCACCGCCCTGCCCCACCCCATGCACTCCACCCAGCTTGTCGCACCCCACGTCGCGTTCCGCTGTCTGTGTCTCCTGTGAAGCATCCCGCGACGCACCGTGCGATGTCCCCACCCGTGGTCCCTTGTCGCACGTAGTGCATATTTATCCCCCTCTCCACCTTTCCCTCTCGCCCCGTTCCACTCTTCTTCTGATCCTTGACTTCAATCACGCCGCACAACGTGTCCCTTCGCCATCGATACGCTCAACCTTCCTTTTGTGTGCGACTGCCTGTGCGACTGTCTGTGCGACTGGCAGCGGCGATGGACGATGACGAGTTGGAGCGAACGATGCACGTCACCAACGTCAGCGCGATCCTCACGCCCGAGCAGCTTCGCCAGCTCTTCGCCTTCTGTGGCACGGTTACCCGCTGCGAATTTCTCAACGACAAGAAAACCGTCGCACACGTGCGATTCGCGAAAGCTGACGAGGCGAAAGCGGCGCTCGCGCTGAACAACATGGCGGTCGGCGACAAGCAACTCAAAGTCGAACTCGCGAAAACCGCGAAAGCCACGCGACAGGCCGTCCTCTCCGCGCTCGCTCCGCCCGCCCCCGCCCCCGCGCCCACCCCCGCTCCCGCCGCCCCCGCGCCCGTTGCGCCTGCGACGACCGCTGCGACGTCGCAGATGGCGATGCAGCAGGCCGTCGCAATGCCGTTCATGCAGTTTCAGCAGGCGCTTGCTATGCAGCAGGCGCTGGCGCAGCAGGTGCGCAGCTCCGAGGCTAAGACCAAGGCGGAACTCGCCGCCAAGCGCGCCAAGGAGATCAGCCGCGCGATTGCGGCGGGCGGCGCAGGGAAGGACGACGGGAAGGACAAGGATGGGAAGGAGGGAAACGGGAAGGGGAAGGACGGGAGCGGGTCTGACAGGTCCCGCTCGTCGTCGCGCTCGCGCTCGCGCTCGCGGTCGCGCTCCCCATCCCGGCGCGACCGCCACCGCGGGCGGTCCCGGTCCCGCTCCCCGCGCTACCGCGGACGGTCGCGATCGCGCGATCGAGATCGACGGCCTCGAAGCAGGAGTCGCGATCGTGGGTACGGATGGCGGGAGCGCGGGCATAATCACTCTTATAAGTACAGCCGCACTAGGGACTGGGAGGCTGAGGAGAAGGAGAGGGAGAGGGAGAGAGAGCGGGAGAGGGAGAGGAAGATTGAGAGGGATAGGCAGAGGGAGAAGGAGAGGGAGTTACAGCGGGCGCGAGAGAGGGAACGCGAGAGGGAAAGAGAGAGGGAGAGGGCGAGAGAGAGGGAGAAAGAGAAGGAGAGAGAGAGGGAGAGGGCGCGGGAGCGTGAGAAGGAGAGGGAGAGGGAAAGGGCGAGGGAGCGTGGGCGGGACAAGGGTAGAGAGAAGGAGAGGGACAGAGAGGATGACGACGAGAGATACGAGGGGAGGCGCGGCAGAGGGAGGATTGAGGAAGAGGATAGGTACAAGGGGAGGTATGAATCTGATGAGGAGGATGAGGAGGAGGAGAGGGTTGAGAGGAAGAAAGGCCACGGGCGGGACGAGCCGGATTCGGAAGAGGAGAGTGAGGAGCGAGAGGAGGCCAGGCGGAAGGAAGCTGCGAGGAAGGCGAGGGGTAGGGGCGCGAGTGACGAGAGTGAGGAGGACGAGGAGGAGGATGAGGAGGAGAGGGGGAAGGGGAAGGGTGGGCGGAAGGAGGCGGAGCGGAGGGAGAAGGAGCTGAGAGAGAAGCTGCTTCGTGACAAGCTGGAGAGGCAGAGGCGCGAGGCGGAGCGGCGGAGAGGCGCGAAGGAGGAGGATGATGAAGATGAGGAGGAGGAAGAGAGGAAGGAAAAGAAGGGCGAGCGGGTTGCGAGGAAGGGAGGGCGGGACGAGGAGGACGAGAGTGATCGCTCGGATGGGGAAAAGCGAGCTAAGGAGGAGGAGGATGAGGAGGATAGTGACCGCTCTGAAGGAGAGGGAGGGAGGTTGAAGACGAAGAAAGTGGAAGAGGATGAAGAGGAGGAGGAGGAGAGGCGCAGTGGTAGCGAGGAGAAGCGTGAGAAGGACGAGAAGGAGGAGGAAAGCGAGGAGGCGGCGAAAGATGCTAGGTTGCGGCGTGCAGGGAGTGAGGGTGAGGGAGAGAGCGAGAGTGAAATAGAGAGGGCCAAGAAGATGGAGGTTGATGCAGAGAAGGAGAAGGATGAGAGTGAAGAGGAGAAGGAAATTGAGAGGAAGAAGGGAGGGGATGAGAGTGAGGAAGAGAAGGAAAAAGAGGAGAAGGAGACGGATGATATTGAAGAAGAGAGGGAAATGGAGAGGAAGGGAAGGGTTGAAAGTGATGAGGAGGAGAAAGAGGTTCAGAGGGAGAAGGCGAAGGAGAGAGGGGGGGATGAGAGTGACGAGGAGAAGCTGATTGAGAATGGGAGCAGAGGAGGATCGGAGGACGAGGCAGCCGTGAAGGAGGGAGGAGACGGGGAGGAGGAGGAGGAGGAGGAGGAGGAGGAGGATGAGAAGGAGAGGAAGAGCAGGAAGAAAGAGAGTGAACGGCACAAGGAGAAGAAGAGGAAGCACCGCCGGAGGAAGAACCGGTAAGTGAGAAGTGGGAGTAAACAATTTGGAGTGGCTTGTTTTTCAGTGACATGACTGGTCAGGTCTCATTCTGAGCTTGGTAGCCAATGCTTCTTTTTCTCCTCACGCTTTCTGCTCTCCTCATGTGCTTTCCGGACAGTGATGATGACGAGGAGAGTGAGGAGGACGAGGAGGAGCGGCGTCACAGGCGCAGCAGGAGGAGCAAGAAGAGCCACAAGCGCCGGCGCAGCCGCCATGACGACGACGAGGATGAGGAAGGCGAGGGGAGGAAGGATAGGTCGTCTGATGAGGAAGAGAGGGATGATAGAGACAGGAAGGAGAAAGGTCGTGGGGGAAGGCGGAAGGAGAGAGGGTCTGATGATGATGATGAGGAGGAGGAGAAGGGTGGAAGGCGGAGCAGCAGGAAGAGGTCGGGGCGAGATGAGTCTGATGAGGAGAAGGGGCGGTCTTCTAGGGATAAGAAGCACCACAGCCGCAGCCATCGCTCCAGGTCTGTTGGTGCTTTACCCGTGTTCCAAAACTTTTGAACTCTCTCCTTCTCCTTGTACTGTGCTTTGGTGCATACTGCAATGTTTGGCTGTAACAGGCTGTAACATTTGTTCTCTAAAATCTGTTGTACTGCAGGCGTCGCTCGCCTTCCCTCTCTCCTGCCCGTGGCAAGGACAGTCGCCGCCCGGCCTCCGATGACGACTCTCCTTCTCGCAGCGACTGAGTTGGCTCTCGCCTAGGCTGCGAGATTCGTCTCCTGTCTGAGTTGGAGCTTGCTCTTCCTTAGAACCGTCTACCACCACACCTTCGCAAGAACCTTTTTAGTTTTTCGTCTCCACTCTTTTTCTGCTACCGCTGCTGTGTCTGCAACTACTGCTGCCTCTACTGCTGCTGCTGCTGCAACGCAAAGTCTATCTGCCATGTCCTCGGGCCCCACACTGAACTCTTCCCTTGATGGCGTTTGGGAGAAGACTGCTTGAGAATGGGCTTGTTTGGAGCCCGTGGATTGTGTGGGAATGGCACAGATTGGATTTGTTTTTCATAGCATGGGTCATGCTGGTTTGCATGAATGTGCATGATTGCGCATCTGCATGCTTGTGCATTGATGTGCATGGGTGTGCTTCATGTGCATGACTGATCATTCATGTGCATGAATGTGCGTCAAGCGTGAGTGTGCATCAATGGTCATGACTTCACATCAGTACGCATGAATCTGCATTAATGTGAGAATGTTGATGTCATGCCTGAGCACGTGTGCATGAGATGTGCATCACTTTTCTGAAGTGTCAGCCAATGCAGGCCACTCTTGACCTTCAGATCAACATACCAGCACAGGCAGCTAAACACCATTCATGTGGAGGATCCGTCCACACTCCATCATGGACCGTGCATCCAATCGGGCATCAACCAGCCAGCCAGCCATAAAATGCACAAGGCAAGGCAGCTCATGCCATCTGTCCTTCTGTCTTCTCTGGCTGAAGAGCTCTGGTCGGCTTGTCCTGCTTTGTGATGCTATTTCACTGCAAGCATGGGATGGGATGCCTCCATATGCTGGTAGCTTGCCTTCTCATTGGCACACAGTTGGCTGCTGGGATGGACCATGTTCTCCTGTCTGCCCTGGTTCCCGTGGCTTGTGCTGCTGACATGGTCTGTCTGGCCTGGAATTGTGTGCATGGATGTGGGGAATGGCATGGCAGATGGATTGAGGTATGTGCATTGTGGGGGAACAGATGTCCAGAGACCTGCCTTGGAGCATGGCTGTCACCGCTGCTTTCAGCTGCTTGGTTGTCATGTCTTTCAGTGTATGTCTCTGCTCTGTTGACTTGCTGATGATGTGTACATACCATTGCTGACTTCCATACGGTAATCATTCTTGTTCTAAACAGTCTTAAGCTAGCTCCTAGGCGTGCACACTAAATACCAAGATCCCTCTGCGCTACTGAGGGAAGCTTGCAGATAACTACCCGGCTACTGCACTTGCTTGCTTCACCACTTGAGAATTGCCTTAGGGATGTACTGCAATGTGACAGAGACCAGATTAGTACATGTAAGGTTGGCAAATTGAGGCAACATCTATCAATGGCAGGAATTAACATCACTGTGTACCTTGGCAATGAGCCTTTGATAATAGGGCTTGAGCTCCTCCACCTTCAAGCGCTGTGCACTCTTGCTGTAGAGGTCGTACTGGCTGGGGTGGGGGGGGAGGACAAGTTCAAGGCATACAGTAGTATGCCTCATAATGTACACAGACCTCATAATGTACACAGACGAGCACCAGGGATGTAGATGAGCGAGTGAGTGTTCTTACTTGAAGTCCTTGAGCCATGGAAGCATCTCCCGATCAAAGTCGTCCATCAGGTGTTGGTACTCCTCATCCCTGTGCAGAGCTGCGCCCACAATACGGTCAGAACTGAAATGTCACCACCAAATAACAGCATCAATACACATTTGCGCTCTGTTGTACTCACCATAGAATGAGTGGTAGCGGATCATGTAGAGCCCTTGGGCTGGAATGCTGCAGCCGTTTTGGACAAGGACTTGATACCTGCAGGAGAATAACCAAAGATGGTATTTTATTGAGGGATTTAAAGAACGCAGCGCTCTGTAAGAAAGGTGCAATTGCCACTCACATATACTCGTCATGGCCCCAGGATATATGGACCTTGTCCATTCCGCAGCCTTCCGCATAAATACCACACTCTGTGTTCAGGTCTTCAACTGACGAGTCTGGATTGCTGTTGAAGAACTGCAGGAGGGAGAACGAACAGAACGTCAGCTTCAAAGAATACGGTCGTAGATTTTTCAGCCGAGGCAACTAGAAATTCAGACGCTCCAACCTTTGAGTGGACGATCTTGTTGCTAAAGCGACAGCCAACAGGAAACGTATCACCTGCAGTAAACCCACAAGACTCTTTTAGTAACCAAGCATCAGCGAAACTTGCTGCGTGTACCCAAAACGGCATGACTTACCAACAACTGCCCACTGGGGTTCGCTGCCGAACTTCGGATGGAGGAGAACCTTCCCCATATCTAAAGCAGAAACAGTAAGAATATGTCAAATCGGCTATCAAATGTTCACCAATCTCGCAAAAAGTGCAAACGTTTTTAAAGAAATTACCATGAAGGAACCCAACGAGTGGGTACCAGTCTTCTTCCTCGCTCGGGTGGTCCCGTCTGATCGCCTCTGCTGCCTGTAGTGCATGCTCGATCTGCGCCATATCCAAATCGGGATCGCTGTCGTCCACGAGCTCGTTTAACAGCTCCGCCGCTTCCCACATGCTCATCTCGGCCTTGTCCAGCTTCAGATGCCGTTCTTTCATTGCAAGCACCTGAATTTACGTCAGAAGACAGACAAAAAATCAGTACACGCCATAACGTGTAACGATAGGAAGGACAAGCTGAGAATGCATCCAGACTTACAAATCCCAGGGTCTGCTTGGAATGGTTGATGTGGTATACGTTCTCGACCATCGTGTTCCTCTCGTTTTCCTCGTCGTATTCCCTGAAAACAGCAGCGGGCGAATGGCTTAGCAGGCTTGGAGGATCTTCCAGAGCAGGACGGAAATCATGGCGGATGCAGTGGAATGTAATACCTGAAGCCCCTCCCAAACTTGTTTTTCGGACTTGTGGTGCACGGAACAATCGCCATGGTCGACGGAGTGTTGATCGGAGCCATGAATGGTAAGAGTAAAGGCGAGAGACGGTATAATGGATGGCGTCAGCGAGACGTTATCACAGATCCGGAATAACTGCGAAGTGTGAGCACTGGGTTTCGTGGATTAAGATTTAAATACTGTATTTAAATCTTAATGCAGAAGGACTAGAGCGGCCTTAGTGAAAAAAGCGGTGCGATCGCTACTCAAGTAGACAACGGAAACGGCGGCTGTCAGAGAAATGGCGACAGGGGTGTCAGTCTTGTGTAAGTTTATCAGGCTGACTGACTCCAACCTGACCACCTGCTGAGAGCAGCAGGGGGCGCCTTTTCTCGACATTTTCGAGCCAAGCGGCTCGGCTTTCCAGACATGCTCGAGGGCGTGACTCCGAGATTGGGTGTAAATAATTATGTCGAGATCATTTGAATACGTACACTCATAACAGTGTTCACAAATCTGGTATTTTTTGAAATGTATACAAGTGATTGGCAATCTGCGGTTTTATAAGTTATGCACTGAAAGAGGTTGCCAAGATGAGCAACCTGCATGTTGCAACTGAGGACTTCTGTTGAGCCCTTTGCGATCTTCGTACGTTAGCTTCGCTTCACGTCGCGTACATGCTCTATCATCACAATTCTACTGTAGGAGGAAATGGCGCAAGATTTGAGGGGGTGGCAGCAGGATCCAGCTCTAGAGCACCATGGGGAGGAGGGGGCAATCTTTTAGGGCTGCTCTCATTGCCTTGTAAGTGGAAGCTTGGAACGAGGTGCGAGAAACTGTTGAGGCGAACGAACCGCGTGCCACCAGGAATTCTCTGTCGTGGAGGGAAACAGAGATGGGAAGAAACGAGTTGGCGACGGCCAAGGAACAGGCCGTAAGAGAGCGAAAGGAACAGCGACACTGCAAAGTTAGACACCAATCTCATTACCGTAGGCACATGCATGTCCCATGCACACTTGCAAGCATACCCCATGCACGTATGCATTCACAAGCCCATGCAAACACACCTGAAATAGTGAGCTGAACACTCCACCAGGGACCCTCTCCAGGAACCACACAGCCCTCCACCCCATCGCTGTAACCCCATGTACTCCTGCTGCTGCTGCCGATGCTGCTGTCGGGTCATTTGGCAGCGGTATGGATGATTCAGCAGGTATCACCTCCACCAGGTAGTACCTCCGCCTGGCAAATGTCTTTTCTGCATACAGCGCCCACACCTGGCCTATCTCTGGCAAAACTGTAGCCGTACGCGCGTTTGGGGAAGCCAGCTTGGAAATCCGGAAGGAGAAGGTGTTAACAGAGTCGAACGTTGTGGGCTTGCCCAATTTGAAGTATCCGATGCTGGGCTCTGCTCTTTCAGCTGGGTCGGCCAGAGCAGCTGCTGCCTCGGTCTGAGTGATAGTAGCAGCGGCAACGGTGCGTTTCTTGGAAAGTGCGGCCGCCTCGAGCCAGACTATAGTGCAGGAGAAGGGCGAGTGGGACACTTGGCGGATAGCGCAGAGGAAGCGGGGGAAGCCGTCAGAGTCATCATACAGGGTCCACACCTGTTGGGGTTAAGGGGAGAACAAACGGGAGCAGAAAAGACGGCGAGGCGTGGATTCTGATGAGCTCAAAAGCCAGGTAAGGAGCTGATGGAAAGGGATGCATCATGCACGCGCATGCTGTGTGTGGCATGTGAAACAGAACCTACATCGCCTGGTCGGAATGTTTCCTCCGTGCGATCATCATCGAAGCAGTGGAAGTCAGGATCTGGAACGGAGAAGCGCACCACTTCCTCCTCCTCCTCTTCCTCCTCGCTCTCCTCTTCCTCTTCATCAGACGAGATAAGCTCCACCACCTCCCCCTCATGCATAAACCCATTCCTCTTTCCATCACCACTCTTCTTTTCCCCACTGCTGCTGCCACGGCCCTCTCCTCGCCTTTCACCACTCCTCCCCTCTTCCTTCCCTGCTGCGACCCCTGGATTGTCATCCATAGGCACATCCGTGGAATTCCCCTCTCCTTGCACCCTCCCTGAGACGTCTCCAGCCAGTCCGTGTCTGCTATCAGCCCCGGAGCCCTTGCTCGCATCACCTCCTCCCACAGCTGAGTCTTGGTCAGCCCTGGGTCTCCTGGGTTGACCGCCGCCCCCTGCGCCCGTCCCATTGGCCCCTTTCATCCCCGCCCCGGCCTCGGTCACCTCCATGACGTCATCATCGTCGTTGTCATCCCCCAGGTGGTACACCACCGGCTTCCTGCTGCGCGCCGACCGCCTCATACCGCCTCCAACCATCTCCTCGTCCTCCCCCACCCCTCCGCCCTCTCCCTGTGCCTGCCCCGTGCCTGCCGGCCACCCCTGGTAACCCCCCTGCAAGGGGTCCCTGTTTCCTCCCCCCCCACCACCACCACGACCAGCATCGTCATCATCACTGTCTGCGTCCATACGGAAGTCCCACTCCTCGTCATCATCGCTGCTGTCCCCTGCCCCCCTTCGCCCTCCCCCCTGCTTCCTCTTCCGCAGCCGGTTCTTCCGCCCTACCTGCTGCCCGCCACCCCTCTCACCCTCTCCACCTCCTGCTGCTGCTTGCGCGCCTGCAGTGCCATTCCCAACACCAGAAGCTCCAGCAGCTGCAGCAGCAGCGGCGAATTTTCCCTGCTGTTGTCGCCTGCGCTCCAGCAACTCATCCATCTGCATCTGCCGCCTCGCCTGCGCCTTCGCCTGCTCCTGCTGCACCTCCCCTGCAACTCTCTCCCTCTGCGCCCTCTCCTCCTCCGCTCTAGCCCTCAACGCCTCCTCCACGCTTCCTGTTTGGCCAAACTGCTGCGTACCCACCCCTGCTGCACCTGCGCCCATCGCTGCTCGCATTCTCTCATGCTGCTCCCGCTGCAGCTGCTGCTGCCGCCGCTGTGCTTCCTGCTGCAGCTGCTGCTGCCGCCGATGCTCCTCCTGCTGCTGCTGCTGTAGCCGCCTCTGTGCTTCCTGCAGCCGACGCTGCTCCTCTAGATGCTGCTGCTGCAGCTGCTGTTGTCGCCGCAATTGCTCCTGCTGCTGCTGAAGCCGCTGCTGTTGTTGTTGCTGTTGCTGCTGTTGCCACTGTTGACTGCCATACACCCCAGCACCATCCGTCGAAAAGGAGAACTGTGCGAAGTTAGCAGCACCAGGGAAAGCCCCCCCAGTCCCCATCCCTCCAAACTGCCCTGCAATTGCAGCAGCTGCCGCAGCAGCGGCAGCAGCAGCGTCCCCAGCCGCTGCAGCAGCAGCCGCCGCTCCCCCCCCTGTGCCCCTTAGGGATTCCGCGACAGCAGCGGCCTGCGCGGCTGCAGCAGCTGCCATAGCGGCAGCGGCGCTGGCAGAGGAATGCACATTGCCGTAGCTCGCTGGCATGCCGTACTGCATGCCGCCGGTGGGCATGAAGTTGGGCTGCTGAGGTGCACCCCTCGCTTGTGCTTGTGCCTGTGCCTGTGCCTGTTGTGCTTGTGCCTGTGCCTGCCTTACTGCCTGTGCATGTGCCTGTGCGTGTGCTTGCGCGTGTGCCTGTGCTGCTGCCTGTGACTGCGTCCGTGGTTGTGGCACGCTGCCGTTTTGTTTACCAGCTGCATTGCCAGCGGCAGACGCGTTAGAGGCAGACGCGGTGGCAGGCATGGCCTTGAACGAGCTCTTGCAGATGATGCACTGTACAACGGCCGCCATGGCGTCCCGCAAACACAAGAACCGCGTCCCGCACGTCGGACACCGCGTCTCGAACTGATTCCCCGCTCCCTGTCCCCCCGCACCTGCTGCTGCTGCTCCTCCTGCTGGTGCTGCAGGCGGGGGTTTCGCTGCTGCTGGAGCTCTGTGTTGACTCCTCGAGGCATTAGCGCCGGCTGCTGCTCCTGCTCTGCCTGTGGTTACGTTTAATCGTCGTTTGGCGTCATGAACGGCCTTCTTCTGCTTGTCTGATACCACCGTGAACGCCTCGGATAGCAGCTTGAACGCTGCTTCTGCTCCGCTGGTCTTGTTCTTGTCGGGATGCAGCAGCAGCGCCAGGCGACGGTACGCCTTCTTGATCTGACTGTCGTCATCGCAGAATGCGGGGATTTGGAGAAGCGCGTACCAGTCCACGTCACCTCCCACGCGGTTCAGCGAAGCTTCGTGGACTTCGACCACGGCACAGACCTGCGTGAGCCCGTCGAGATTGGGAAAGAGGGATTGCGCTTTCGATACTAGTCGACGAGCCCTGGCGTAATCGCCGCTTGCAAGAGCCGCTTCGGCTAGCTCCTTAGCCTTCATCGCGTCTTCTCTATTGCACTCCATCTAATTCAGGAATAATATGAATCGACGGTGACGAGCTATAGACTATGAAGCGTAGCCTAGGATTTGAAGTATGCGGCCGTCCAAGCCTCCGATCACAGACGAGCATGTAGGTGGCAGACTCTAAGCTGTCCCATGGATGCAAGGTTAACGAGGGATACCAGTAAAGAACCTGCAGTATTACGAGGACAGAATGCTACGCTCGAGATACTAGACGATAAAAACGCAGGTCTCCGGAGATAAAGACGTAAGGTCCCTTGCAGGACATCCTAGTCCCTGGTACCTACCAAGGGAACCTGGTGTCAACGATACGCAGCGTGGATGGCGATAACGGATCCAAAACCAAGGATTCCACTGCAAGAGCTCCAACAGCCTTGCATCTTAAAGACTGCCACAAAATCAGCACTCTGCACGCAGATGCGTTTCGCGACAACCACACTTCAGAGTTTCATAAGAAAACACTAAATTGTTTTCTGTAAAGAAAACGATTGCGTTTCTTGTGCAGCTTTTTCAGGAACATAGGGTTGACTCAGGGGACCACGATTTTTGTGTGATTTTACTGAAGGGAAGCCAGCATCTTCCCCCCTCAATATCTCCGCCACGTTGCGTGATTCGTTTTCCTCCTCCTCCACGTCTTCTCTAGTTTCCAGCATCGGAGTTTCATTTTGGTTCAGCGAACCAGCAAATCCTCTTCTCTTCCCTAGTGTTCGTGCTTCCTGTGCCGAACCCTAGCAATAATCTCTTCCTTTCTCGTAACTCGCGTCGACCGCCATGGGAAAGGGTCCTGGTTCCTTCTCAGACATTGGCAAGAAGGCCAAGGGTAAGACCGTTTGTCTCGACAGTTACTGTGTAGTCATTACCTCAGCACGTCGTATGTGCGTTCTGATCGAGCATTTATGGATCTTGAACAGAGCTTCTTTTCAAGCATTACGCTTATGACCACAGCATCAACATCTCCACAAAGACTGATTCGGGCTTGGTAAGTTCATCAGATACAGCTAAACTTTAGCCAGAATGAGATCCAGTAGTGCTGATGTTCCCTTCATTGGAAATGCAGAAGTTTCAAACTGCATCAGTGAAGAAGGGAGACGAGGTGTCGTGCGATGTGAAGACTGAGGTCGAGATTGGAAACGTTGAGGCCGAGTTTAAGCTTGATACGAAGTCCAAGGTACGTACTGGCGGGAGTGCGCTCTAAGAATGTAATGTGCCTTAGAAGGAGCCACGGGTTGACAGTCTGATCTGGAAACGTGTTCTTCCCTGTGTTTCAGCTTTATTTCAAGGCCGTCTACGAGGATCTTGCTCCTGGTCTGAAGCTTGCCCTAACTGGAATCGTTCCGGATTCGAAGGCCACCAAGGTGAGTGGGTGAACCCCGATCAGCACTCATTGTTTGCTCGCGCGGAACCATTTGATCTTCTTCTGGTGTCGCGATCCATTCGTAAAATATTGCATGACATGAGTACCTCGAGGTTTTGCAGGCAGAGCTGACCTACAAGCAAGAGTTGCTACACGTGAATGCCACCGTCGGTCTTGTTACACAACCCGTTTTCGAGGGTGCTCTTGCCGTCGGAACCAAGGGTGTGGTTGTCGGTGCTGAGCTTGGCTACGACACTGCTACTAACAGCGCGACCAAATACAACCTTGGCGTGGCCTACTCCGAATCCGACTTCGCTGCTTCCTTGTTGATGTAAGCATGTCGTACCCACCTCTTTGTTTCCCAATTTTCATTATACCAGTGGCTGACTAAACCTGCAATGCTCACCTGTGCTGCAGTGCTGACAAGCTGGACACGCTGAAGGCTGCCTATTTCCAGAAGGTGAAGAAGGACGTTGAGGTTGCTGTTGAGGCAGCGCACAAACTCTCCAAAAGTGACACTACTTTCACAGCAGGTGCTTCCTTTGAGCTTGATCCCCTCACAGAGGCCAAGCTTAGGTTCAACAACCGTGGCACAGTTGCTGCTCTCCTCCAGCACGAGTTCCGGCCCAAGTCCAAGGTCACCATTGCAGGAGAGGTTGACTCCAAGGCTCTTGACAAGTCAGGCAAGGTTGGGCTTGCCATTGCTCTCAAGCTGTAGCTAGGTGGTCTGTTGAATTGGACCCCACGTTCCATACCAGCAGTAGTGGTTATGAGTCTCACGTTCCGTATCATTGTCTATCTGTAACAACCAGCTATATTTACCCAGACACTAGTCCAGCCCCAAGGTTTAGGTTCTGGTCACATTTTACATATCTTACGCTATTTAAAGCAACACATTCAAGAATAGAGTCTGCGTGTACTGTTTCGTTCATACCCACGCCAATTTAGGGTGGATCAGCAAACCACAGAATTCGGTCGTCATCCTTTTTCCACCGACAAGCCCGCCGACAACCCATAACCAAGTCAGGAGATGTCTCTAGGCGATGCTGTGAAGACACTGAGTTATTGAACGGAGATTCTTCCTCGCATTGACTAGGAGTGCAATGGCGTTGGATTCAGCTGTAGCCGCCTCGGCTCCAGGCAAGGTTCTCCTAGTGGGAGCGTACCTTGTGGTAGAGCCTCCTAATCAAGGCCTCGTTCTCGCCACGAACGCGCGCTTCTACGCCATTGCGCAGCCGCTAATCGCCGAGAGGGAGAAGCAGGTTACGGAATCAGCGGAAACAGCAGATGCGGGCAGAGAGAGCCTGATGACCGTTGGCGTGGATTCGCCTCAACGAGGCAGCTGCTACTTCTTCGACCTGTCCCTTCCAAATCTCGAAATCAGCAACCGCAGGTAGTTAGAGTTCAGTTGTGGCAGATGCCTTCGGATAAAAAACCATTGAAACTCGATTTTGTCACACGCCACCGCGAAGGCCATCGGTTGTACCCCTTACGCTGCATTCCGATGGTCCGTGTCCCCTTGAGGTCCGTGCAGGGAAGGTGACGCCTGTGCGGGTGAATGCACAGGACAGAAAGGTCAAGCGGAGGAAGGCAGCGCGGAGAGGGTTTCAGGCAACCCTTATGTGGAAAGGGTGGTTCAGGTGGCTGTGGGAGCTGCCCTGGGGGAGACAGGCGGATTGAGGGACGGAGCAACGGACAAGCGGCAGCTGAGGGAGCGGCTGACGAGTGCAGGAGTGCGCATCACGATTGCAGGAGACAACGACTTTTATTCGCACCGCCACACTGTACGCTGCCGTTCCATGCACAAGTCCCTTCATGCACATTCCCCCAAGAACATTCCTTTATGCACGTATCCCCTGCACATACCCCCATACAAATTCCCCCATGCCCCACGCACATTACCCCATTCCCTATGCACAATCCTCCTACATGCCCCATGCACATTCCCCCGTGCACACCCCTCTATACGCACCCCTCCGCGTGAGTGCAGCTGCAACAGATGGGCCTGCCGCTCTCTGCGTCCTCCCTCGTCCGCATCCCCCCCTTCGCCCCGATCGTCAGCAACCCTCCTTCAGCAGCCCCAGCCACATCAACACCCCCGGTAACAACAGCAGCCCCACACGCAGCAGCATCAGCATCAGCATCAGCATCAGCAGTCGCAGTAGCAGCAGCAGCAGAGCCCACGAGAGGGCACGTGCCAGAGGTGGCGAAGACAGGGCTGGGGTCGTCTGCCGCCATGACTGCTGCTGTCTCCGCTGCCCTGCTGCACTTCCTCGGCGTGCTGGAGCGCACAGGGAGTGGCGCTGCTGATGAGGGTTCTCAGGAGCGGGCCATGGGGAGTGGAGCGGAGGAGAGCTCTCAAGGGGAGGCGGTGGGGAGTGCGGGGACGGTGGGGAGGGAGGAGGTGGTGCATCGGGTGGCGCAGGTGGCGCACTGCTTGGCACAGGGCAAGGCGGGCAGCGGGTTTGATGTGGCAGCTGGCGTGTTTGGGTCCATGTGCTACCAGCGCTTCAACCCGTCCGTCATGCATGCCCTCATGGTGGGTGCTCTCGTGCTGGGTGCTGCCATGATGGTTGCTGCCTTGCTGTGTGCTGCTCCATGATGGTTGCTGCCTTGCTGTGTGCTGCCATGATGGTTGCTGCCTTGCTGTATGCTGCTCCATGATGGGTTGTGTTGTGTCATGCGCACGGCCATAATGAGTGATCAGGGCTGCAGGGAACATGACGCCTATTCACTTGTGTAACACCATCTTGCACATATGCCCTCCTGTGTGAACCTTGGGGTTGTGGCAGGGAGCAGAGGCAGCAATGACAGTGAGCAGCATATCAGCCACACTGCGGTCGCCTCTGTGGGATCACACCATCGCTCCCTTGCACCTCCCACCAGGCCTTCTCCTGGTATGCCTCCCTCCCACTCTCCCTCTTCCCCATTCTAACACTCTCATTCTACTATCCCATTCTCCCACCCTCCCGTTCTTGCCAAATGAGCATTGTTTTATTCTCCTCTCACGTGCCCACGCATGCCCCCTTTCTTTTCCACGTGGTGTATGTGCGTGGCTGTGGATGGTAGGTACTGGGCGAGCCAGGCACAGGGGGTACCGCCACACCCTCCATGCTTTCTGCTGTCATGAAGTGAGTGTGAGCGTGGCCATTCTGGAACATAGTTTGATCGCTTTTAGTGGGTATCGCGCTGCTACGGGCGTATTCACGCATCGGTTATTTCAAGTTAGCACAAATCATTCCATCGACCCATATTAAGATCATGCCATCTTACCAGCATGCCATCATGCCATCCCCCATACCCCTCTGCAGTTCGTTGCTGCAGCAGTCCCTCACCTCTCCCTGACCCCATGCAATCATATCTTCCTTCTCCTTTTCCCCGTTTCCTCCCCCTCCCCACAGGTGGCGGCGGCAATCACCAGGAGAAGCAGAGCCCATTTGGGAAGGCCTAAAAGAGGCCAATGCGGCAGTGTCTGCTGCTCTCTCACACCTGTCCCTTCTCGCTCGCACCCATCCAGACGCCTTCTCCACCACTCTGAACCGCCTGCAGCACGTGCCTCTCACTGCAGCAACCCCAGTGGCGCCTGTTGCTGCCGCAACCCAGGTGAACCCCTTGTGTGCCACCTATGAGGCAGCGGGAGATCTCCAGGCTGAGGTTGAGGTAACTCTGGAGTCTACTCAACAGTTGCAAGCAGGCACATCGGTGCATGGTAGCAGCAACATCAGCCACACAAGCAGGGCCATCAAACCACACGCACCACAGCAACCACAGGAACATCAAGAATCGCAAACAGAACAAGAGCAGCAAGGTGGTGACATCCGGAATACCATCCTACACGCGCTTCTCACCCTGCGGTCCTCCTTCCTCTCAGTGCGCCACCTGCTCTCTGCCATGGGCTCTGCTGCCGCCACACCCATCGAACCCCCCCAGCAGACCGCACTTCTTGACGCCACCATGCAGCAGCCGGGGGTGGTGATGGCGGGGGTGCCGGGTGCAGGGGGATTTGATAGTGTGTTTGCGGTGGTGGTGGGAGAGGAGGCGGCGAGGAGGCTGGATGGGATGTGGGCTGGTATGGGGGTGATGCAGATGGGTGTCAGGAGTGGGGCGGAGGGGATGAGGTGGGAGGAGGTAGAGGGGGTGATAAGGAGGCTGGGAAGGGGATGAGAAGCATGGGTCAATGTGGCATGGGTCAACGTGGCATGGGTCAATGTGGCATGGGTCAATGTGGCATGGGTCAATGTGGCATGGGTCAATGCGGCATGGGTCAATGTCAGAATAATGATTTGCCCTTTCCCTCGTTCTTCACACATGTTCATCCCAGTTAGAGTGCAGTACAAGTCACTGAATGTATGGGTGCGTTCTCTCGTGGAATAGATGCATAGAACAGACAGGCACATGGCTACTCATGCCATGCATAAGGACGCACAGCACATGCATGGCCACTATAGAATGGCTTACAAGTATACTTCCACAGCCCTAACATACCGTATCATGGGTTTTAAACCATGGCCATATTTTCTACTTGACCTTCTAGTTCTGTCACTCCACCACACACCCCTCTTGGGGCACAATAATGAGAGAAATTCCCACTTTTATAATATTGCATCATACAATAATTCGGCTAGCGACCCTGTTAGTGATGCTACCACTACAATGGTGATGCTGTGGTTAGTTACCCTTGCTCCAGGTGCCCCTTCCACCCCTCTGTTCCCACTTTCACGGCACCTGACGGGAAACCTGACGAGGGAACCTGCCAAGGCTCTGTGACAAAGCAGTCGCCTCACCTCTACTCGGGCTCCTTGTGGGTCTGTGGCTCCACCACGAGGGTGTGGCGGTCGCTGTGGAAGTGGAAGGGCGCCTCAAAGGCGAAGGCAGAGAGATCGTCCACCTGCCACTCGTGCTCGTGCACCCCCCACAGCGGATCCATGCCCACCCCCACCTTCACACTGCGCCGCCGCACCAGCGCCCGCACCGTCGCACTGAAGGCTCGGATGGAGGCTCGGGAAGCGGTAGGGGAGGCGGGAGGGGCTCGGGAAGGGGTGGGGGAGGGTTGGAGCGAGGGGGATGTGGTTGGGGAGGGGTGGGAGGAGGGCGATGGGGAGGATAGGCTGCGAGGGTTGAACTCGATGCTGCTGGTTACCACGTACTGTGTGCATGGCGGTGTTATACCGCAGTGGGGGTGGGAAAGAGGGAGGGAGGACGAGACAGAATCAGACAAGGATAAAATGAGGTCAGGGGAGAGGGTAAAGGGCATAAGAGAGGGAACATAGAACTGGAGCACAGCAGCACATTAGCCAGCACAAGGAGCAGTCGCGTGCTCGCAGATGCAAAAGAACAGCCGACACGGGGGAATTCGAACTAATGATGCAGTGACGTGCAGTGCAGTGCAGTGCAGTGCAGTGCGGTGCAGCAGCACTGACAACGAGGGAGAAGTCCCGTTTGAAGGGCCACTTGAGCGCCCACACGGTGCCTGGCTGCGGATATACCGCGTGCACACTCCTGCCTGCCCCGCCTGCTACCCTGCGCACCCTCCGCACCCTGATGGGGGTGATGGGGGTAATGTGATGGGAATGACGGGGATGATGGGGATAAGGGTGGCGTTCGAAGGGCCATATGACAGCCCCAAGACAGTGCCTGGCTGGGATACACTGCATGCACACTCCAGCCCGGGCCCCCTGCCTGCCCTGCCACCCTCCTCACTCGCTGCAACCTCATGTGTGATATGGGCGGGGCGATGGGGGTGATGGGGGTGATGCGATGTGATGGGGGTGATGGGGGTGATGGGGTTGATGGGAGTGATGTGATGTGATGGGTGTGATGGGGGTGATGGGAGTGATGGAAGTGATGGGTATGCGAATGTGTGAGAATCGTGATGGCACAAGGGCAGCAAAGCAACGCTGCGAGAGCAGAGAGAGGGCAGCAGAGCAGAAAAACAGCACCTACCTGTGGCTGAATTTGAGTCGACTCAAAAGCAGAGAGGGTAGCAGAGCAGAAAAACAGCACCTACCTGTGGCTGAATTTGAGTCGACTCAAAAGCAGAGAGGGTAGCAGAGCAGAAAAGCAGCACCTACCTGTGGCTGAATTTGAGTCGACTCAAAAGCAGAGAGGGTAGCAGAGCAGAAAAGCAGCACCTACCTGTGGCTGAAGACAGCACCTACCTGTGGCTGAAGACAGCACCTACCTGTGGCTGAAGACAGCACCTACCTGTGGCTGAAGACAGCACCTACCTGTGGCTGAAGACAGTGAGGCTGGTGGCCGTGTGCGTCTCCTGCTCCATCTCATACAGCCCTGCTCCATGCCACGTGTGCTCGTCCTCCCCCTCGCCCTTGTACTCGTCTCCCTCCTCATCCTCATCCTCCTCTTCCTCTTCCTCCTCGTCACCACTCTCGCTCTCCTCCCTCTCTTCCCGCTTCCCATTTGCAGGATGCCCAGCTGATTGAGCGTCTACAAGATAGAAGTACCGGCTGAATGGAGGAGAAAAGATGTGGGAGGGTGGAGAGGAGGGAATATGCAGCAGCAATGTGGTCACGAAGCAATGTGGTCAAGAAGCAATGTGGTCACGAAGCATTTTTAGGCACTAGGAACAACCGTTACAGGTGTGCTTCAACAGGTCGCAACTTGCGAGAAGCAAGCAAGGTACGGAAAACGAATCTCAAGATGCATTGAGAGATTGTGGCCGGTGCAACAGAAGCAACAGAGGGGTGCGCTCTCGAGACATATCCAGCCGAATAACGCGTGATCTGTTCAGAGTGAAGGGCAGCAGGATTGGCATACTATGTGATCTGTTCAGAGTGAAGGGCAGCAGACTTTTGAGACGTCTCAAATGCAGGATTGGCATACTATGTGATCTGGCCCTATGTTGCGAGCTCACTAGGTGATGCAGAGAGGAGTCGGCTTGCGCAGCGACTCGGTGTCGAATCTGCCGCCCTCCACGGAGAGGATCAGCGCGTACCAATTGGGTAGCTTGGACCAGCTGTATGCCGCCCATACCTGGCGCAGTGCGGTGAGATGGGTTGCGGTGGGGAGGGGTTGGGTTGGGTGGGGTGGGCACAGCACAAAGACGTGGGAACGGTGTGAGAGTGATGAGTGCAGTGTGGGGGAGATGAGTGCAGTGTGGGGGAGATGGGTGCATGTTGCCTGGATTGAGCACCACTAAAGACCTAATCACTTCGAGATAGTTACCCTTCATCCTTCACTTCCACCCACGCTCATTGCTCAATGGAGGCTCCTTGGAGACATATTCTTTTTGTGGCAGCGATTGCGTAAACAATTATTGACAGCAAGAAATTGTCTTGCTTGCTTGTTTTCTCATATAACCACTCCGAGCTAGCTACCTTTCATCCCTCACTTCCACACACACTCACCGCTCACCTTCCCCGGCACCCATGAGGTGGTTGGTGCGGGTGACAAGGGGCAGGCAGCGCACAGGGGGGAGCAGAGAGATGCCCGTCACACTCCCTGCCCGCCCATTGCCCTGCCCGCCCATTGCCCTGCCCGCCCATTGCCCTGCCCGCCCATTGCCCTGCCCGCCCATTGCCCTGCCCGCCCATTGCCCTGCCCGCCCATTGCCCTGCCCGCCCATTGCCCTGCACGCCCATTGCCCTGCCCGCCCATTGCCCTGCACGCCACTGCCCTGCTATCACACACCCTTACCCTTGAAGTGCGCTCACCTCCCCCGGCACCATGAGGGCGCACTTGGTGCGGGTGACATGGGGCGGCACACAGGCAGGCAGCGCACAGGGGGGAGCAGAGAGGCCCCTTCACACTGCTCCTCAACCCCACGTTCTCATCTCTCACCCCCCCCCTCTTAACACCCACGCTCAGTGCTCACCTCCCCCGGCACCATGAGGGCGCACTTGGCGCGGGTGACATGGGGCGGCACACAGGCAGGCAGCGCACACGGAGGAGCGGAGAGGCGCAGCGAGGGGGACAGCAGCGGCGTGAGCAGGTATGATATCACGGCCACCTGTGGGGGAAGAGCAGGGGGCATTGGGAGAGTGTGGGAGAGGGGTCTTAGAAAGCAGGAGACTGTTACAGGGGGGAGCGGAGAGGCGCAGCGAGGGGGACAGCAGTGGCGTGAGCAGGTATGATATCACTGCCACCTATGGGAGAAAAGAACGGGGGATAAGGGAGAAGAGGGGGGTTGATGATGGATAAGGCAAGGGGGAAATAGTAGGGTGGTGAGGGGTGGATTGGTCGCAGGGGAAGATAGCAGCATAGGGAAAGGCATAGCAAGTAGGAGAAGAAACAGCAAAAGGGTGAGTGGCAGGCGGGCAGGCAGGCAGGGACACTCAACTGGAAACGAGCTCCCCAGCAGGCCCCATCGGTCCCTCTCCTGCAGCTCCCCAGCAGGCCCCATCGGTCCCTCTCCTGCAGCTCCCCAGCAGGCCCCATCGGTCCCTCTCCTGCAGCTCCTCCTGCCCTCTCTCCTCCCCCGCACTCGTCTCCCCTCGCCTCCCCCCCCCCCCCCCCCCCCCCCCCCCTCCTTCCCTCTCGCCCACTCACCGGAAACGAGTTCCCGAGCAGGCCCCATCGGTCCCTCTCCTGCAGCTCCTCCTGCTGACTCTCATCCCACCGACACGTCTCCTCCCTCCCACTCATCCCGTCCGCCCTCCCGCTCGCCCTCTCACTGGCCCCACTCCGCCTCCGCCTCGTCTCTTGGGGCTGCTGTTGCACGCCCCTCCTCCTGGTGTGGTGGGGATAGAAGAGGAGAGGAGAGGAGAGAACACAGGTAACGACAAGCTGTGCAATGGAGAGTGAGGTTGACTTGTGTAACTACCTTGGCGGCACATGCCCATCAGCATTGCTCACTAACCACCTCAAATCCCACTTGGCCCACACGTGCCGCTACCACCTCTACTACCCAACATCACTCCACTCACATCACTCACTCCACTCACATCACTCACTCCACTCACACACATTCAATTTCACCTTCAACCACACCTCTCACACCTATCAATCACCGCCCACGCACATGAGCTCTGCCTCGCTGTAGAATCCAATGCCAGGCCGCGCTCGGAGCGACCTCCCCGTGCTGCCGCCAGCAGCAGCCGGTGCAGCAGCAGACGCACCATCACCAGCAGCAGGAGAAGAGTGTTCGCTTGCCTTGGCCTGGCCTCCTCCGTCCTCCCTTCTGCCCTTCTTTTCTCCAACCTTTTCGTCCCCCAATACCGATGGTGGCACTTCAACCACATCGTCTTCACTATCTTCATGATCCGTGGCATGACCGTTCTCCACCGCATTGTCCTCCTTCAACACCCCAACGTCACCACTCTTCACCGCATTCTCACTCTTCAATCCTGAAGCACCATTGGCAGCAGCACCACCATGATAACCATCAAAACCATCATCACCCTCATCACCATCAGCATCCACACAATCACCGCTTCTCACCGCATCACACCGAGCCGCACCCTGCAACTCTCCTCCATCTCGCCCCTTCCAGACTCTCCTCCTCTTTCCTCCACCTCCCTCCCTCTCTCCATTCGCCACTCCATTCCTCTTCCCCTCCACCCACCTCCTCGCCTCTCCGCCCTTGTGTTTTCCCCTCTCTCCACACGCCTTTCCTGCAACGCCCGACACCCACTTCCCACCATCTCTTCCCACCACATCAAACCCCTCAGCACCTCCCTTTCCTCCATCTCCCCCAGCAATGCATGCACTCACCTCCCTCACCCTCCTCACCTCCCCCTCCTTAACCTCCCTCACCTCCGCTTCCTCTCCCTCCTCCTCTCTTACCTCCCTCACCCCATCAAACACTGCTCTGTTCAGCACTCGCACAGGGGAGAAAGGTGGAACGGAGGGGTCGCTGGGAACTGCTGCATCGACTTCCTTCACCCCTCCTTCACTCTTCACTCCCCTCTCCCTCCTCACTCCTCCTTCACTCTTCACTCCCCTCTCCCTCCTCACTCCTTCACTCATCACTCCTCTCTCGATCTTCACCCCTTCTTCGCTATTCACCTCCCTCACATCTTCTTTCTCCTCCTCCCTTTCCTCACCTCTCAAACAATCAGCCCCAGCAGACTCCCAATTCCCTGTACCATTTTCTTGCCCCTTCCCCGCCCCTGCTTTCCCCCCTGTCGCCCCTCTCCTTCCCGCCTTGATAGCAGCGAACCGGGCGGCGGGGATCTTGGTGTATCCGGGCGGGAATCCAAAGATTCTCTCGATCTCGTGGGAAAGGAAGAAGCGGGCGGCATGGGATCGCAGGCAGATGACCTGATTGGTGCGGCCCTTGCCAGCTGTGCGGTAATTGGTCTTCATGATTGGCTGGGGAAGATGGAAGGATGAGGCAGAGGGTAAGAGAGGGCAGGAGATTTATATTCAGGGGGGCACGTGTGGGGGAAGCAGAGGGAGTGGCATCGCAGGCAGATGACCTGATTGGTGCGGCCCTTGCCGGCCGTGCGGAAGTTGGTCTTCATGATGGGCTGGGGGAGAGGGAAGGGGGATGAGGCGGAGGATAAAGGGGTAATATAGAGTGTTGTGGGGGAAGCAGAAGGAGCAGGCGACCCGGTTGGTGTAAAGCGGCCCTTGCCGACCACACAAACAATGAAATTCATCACAGGATTGCAGAGCGAATGACAACTCTCCATACGCCCCTCCACAACCCCATAGTCAGTCCACACATCCCCTTCCCCCTTCCCCCTTCCCCCTTCCCCCATACCCACCCCGCACTTGTCCTTCAGTGGCAATCGCGTCAAACAGCTTGCTCTGCAGCGGAGTGGACGGGTGGCAGCGCACACTCACTCTCCACCTGCCCCCTTAAACTCGATACCCTCCCTGCCCAACCCTCCCTGCCCAACCCTCCTCTCCCTTCCCCCTTCCCCCTTACCCACCCCGCACTTGTCTTCAGTGGCGATCGCATCGCACAGCTTGCTCTGCAGCAGTGTGGACGGGTGGCAGCGCACGGGCGGCATCTGAGCTGGCAGCGGCAGGTTGGTCCAAAACAGCCGCCGCCGCGCCTGTGCGGTGAGGTCGGCGCAGTCGATGCAGATGGGTGGCACTCCCAGATACTTGGAGATCTCATCGCGATCCATCCACTGCATGCTCGCCACGTTTTCAACCAGAAACCTGGTGGAGGAGGAGGAACGGGGGGTAAGTGTGCATGTGGGAGTGGGCAAAGAGAGCAACCAGTCAGCAGCAGCGTCAATCGGTTCATGCATCCACTGCATGCTCGCCACGTTCTCCACCAGAAACCTGATGAAAAGAGGGTAGGGGAGAGAAGCGAGAGGATGAGGAGAGCCAAGGGTGAGCTCTGATAAGCACTCCCGTCCCGTGTGAGCATTCACGCCCTCATCCAGAACTATCCATGCATCCATGCATCCAGTGCATGCTCGCCACGTTCTCCACCAAGAGCCTGGTGGGGGGGCGCAGGTGGGTGGGTGTGTGCAAGGGGGAATGGCAAAGTGAGCAACCAGTCAGCCGCCATCCATGCATCCAGTGGATGCTCGCCACTTTCCCCACCAGCAACCTGATAGGAGGGGGGGAGTGGGCACAGGTGGGTGTGCGCACGTGGGAGTGGGCAAAGAGGGCAACCATCCATCCATGCATCCATGCAGTGCATGCTCGCCACGGTCCCCACCAGGAACCTGCTGTCGTGTCGTGGACAGGGAGAATGCAGATCACGAGAGGGCTCTCAAGAGGGGAACAACATGCATACACTGCAGTGAATTTTACCAAGCACTCTCACTAAGACGTAGTCGCAACGCAATTCTAGAGGTCACCATCTGGGTAGCAGTTTACTCTTTATGGGGAAGAGGCGGTTACCATCTGGGTAGCAGTTTACTCTTTATGGGAAAGAGGCGGTTACCATCTGGGTAGCAGTTTACTCTCTATGGGAAAGAGGCGGTTACCATCTGGGTAGCAGTTTACTCTTTATGGGGAAGAGGCGGTTACCATCTGGGTAGCAGTTTACTCTCTATGGGAAAGAGGCGGTTACCATCTGGGTAGCAGTTTACTCTTTATGGGAAAGAGGCGGTTACCATCTGGTTAGCAGTTTACTCTTTATGTGGAAGAGGCGGTTACCATCTGGGTAGCAGTTTACTCTTTATGGGGAAGAGGCGGTTACCATCTGGGTAGCAGTTTACTCTCTATGGGAAAGAGGCGGTTACCATCTGGGTAGCAGTTTACTCTTTATGGGGAAGAGGCGGTTACCATCTGGGTAGCAGTTTACTCTCTATGGGAAAGAGGCGGTTACCATCTGGGTAGCAGTTTACTCTTTATGGGAAAGAGGCGGTTACCATCTGGGTAGCAGTTTACTCTTTATGGGGAAGAGGCGGTTACCATCTGGGTAGCAGTTTACTCTTTATGGGAAAGAGGCGGTTACCATCTGGGTAGCAGTTTACTCTTTATGGGGAAGAGGCGGTTACCATCTGGGTAGCAGTTTACTCTCTATGGGAAAGAGGCGGTTACCATCTGGGTAGCAGTTTACTCTTTATGGGGAAGAGGCGGTTACCATCTGGGTAGCAGTTTACTCTCTATGGGAAAGAGGCGGTTACCATCTGGGTAGCAGTTTACTCTCTATGGGAAAGAGGCGGTTACCATCTGGGTAGCAGTTTACTCTTTATGGGGAAGAGGCGGTTACCATCTGGGTAGCAGTTTACTCTCTATGGGAAAGAGGCGGTTACCATCTGGGTAGCAGTTTACTCTCTATGGGAAAGAGGCGGTTACCATCTGGGTAGCAGTTTACTCTTTATGGGGAAGAGGCGGTTACCATCTGGGTAGCAGTTTACTCTCTATGGGAAAGAGGCGGTTACCATCTGGGTAGCAGTTTACTCTCTATGGGAAAGAGGCGGTTACCATCTGGGTAGCAGTTTACTCTTTATGGGGAAGAGGCGGTTACCATCTGGGTAGCAGTTTACTCTTTATGGGGAAGAGGCGGTTACCATCTGGGTAGCAGTTTACTCTTTATGGGGAAGAGGCGGTTACCATCTGGGTAGCAGTTTACTCTTTATGGGGAAGAGGCAGTTACCATCTGGGTAGCAGTTTACTCTCTATGGGAAAGAGGCGGTTACCATCTGGGTAGCAGTTTACTCTTTATGGAGAAGAGGCGGTTACCATCTGGGTAGCAGTTTACTCTCTATGGGAAAGAGGCGGTTACCATCTGGGTAGCAGTTTACTCTTTATGGGAAAGAGGCAGTTACCATCTGGGTAGCAGTTTACTCTTTATGGGGAAGAGGCGGTTACCATCTGGGTAGCAGTTTACTCTCTATGGGAAAGAGGCGGTTACCATCTGGGTAGCAGTTTACTCTCTATGGGAAAGAGGCGGTTACCATCTGGGTAGCAGTTTACTCTTTATGGGGAAGAGGCGGTTACCATCTGGGTAGCAGTTTACTCTCTATGGGAAAGAGGTGGTTACCATCTGGGTAGCAGTTTACTCTTTATGGGAAAGAGGCGGTTACCATCTGGGTAGCAGTTTACTCTCTATGGGAAAGAGGCGGTTACCATCTGGGTAGCAGTTTACTCTTTATGGGGAAGAGGTGGTTACCATCTGGGTAGCAGTTTACTCTTTATGGGGAAGAGGCGGTTACCATCTGGGTAGCAGTTTACTCTCTATGGGAAAGAGGCGGTTACCATCTGGGTAGCAGTTTACTCTTTATGGGGAAGAGGCGGTTACCATCTGGGTAGCAGTTTACTCTCTATGGGAAAGAGGCGGTTACCATCTGGGTAGCAGTTTACTCTTTATGGGGAAGAGGCGGTTACCATCTGGGTAGCAGTTTACTCTTTATGGGAAAGAGGCGGTTACCATCTGGGTAGCAGTTTACTCTTTATGGGAAAGAGGCGGTTACCATCTGGGCGAGAGCTGTTGAATGAGGCGCAGGAGGTGGAAGAAGAGGCCACTGCGCGGGCCGTGCAGCCTGGGAGATGCATGGTGTGGGGTTGAACATGTGTGGGGTTGAACATGTGTGGGGTTGAACATGTGTGGGGTTGAACATGTGTGGGGTTGAACATGTGTGGGGTTGAACATGTGAACGAGCAGGGACGCACATGCGGGGCAGGGAAGGGGGGGAGGTGCAGGGGAGGGCAGGCAAAAGGAAACCGTTTGGGGGAGAGGTGCTGGATGAGACGCAGGAGGTGGAAGAAGAGGCCACTGCGCGGGCCGTGCAGCCTGGGAGATGCATGGTGAGGGTGAACGGGTGAGAGGGCAGGGAGAGAGAGGCAGGGAGAGGAAAGGTCAGGGCAGGGAGGGAAGGAGAGGGCATAGGAGGGAGGGCGAGGGAGGGAGAGGGGATGAGTGAGGGCGGGGCGTCGAGGGTTATGCAGGAGAGGGGGAACATAAGATGGCGAGGGTGCAGGAGTGGTAAATGCTAGCTGGCAGTGCATGCAATGCAATGCAAGAGGACGGGAACGGCAGATGGGACGTTTCTGCTGTGCGCTCGCGCTCCTGCCACTCACCCCACCCTGTTTCGGTTCATGCTGCTCAGATCCTGACAAGGAAAGCCGCCCACTAGCAGGTCCACATGGGCGCCAGCGGGAACATTCGGTGAAGCTTCCTTGCACTTTCTCGGTCGAAGCTCTTTGGTGTTGGCAGCGGAGGCAGCAGCACCAGCACCAGCAGTGGCGCCAGCAGTGGCACAACTAGCAGCAGCAGCAGCGGCAGCAAGGGCGGAGTGGATGGTGGTGGGTGTGAGGGCGGTGATATCCCCCACGTGCTGCACGGCTGGCCACCTGTGCCTCACCACCTCCGCTGCGAATGGGTCCTGTGGGGGAGGGAGGGGTGCGAGGAGGTGCGGAGGGTTGTGGAGAAACGATATGCAGTGGCATGAGAATGCTGCACCTCACATCAAGCGTGCTGCACGGCCGGCCACCTGTGCCTCACCTGCTGTACCTCCACTGCGAATGGGTCCTGTGGGGCAGGGAGGGAGGGAGAGAGGGAGGGATGAGAAGACTGGAAAAGACTTTTGAGTCGACTCAAAAGAGAGGGAGGGATGAGAAGACTGGAAAAGACTTTTGAGTCGACTCAAAAGAGAGGGAGGGATGAGAAGACTGGAAAAGACTTTTGAGTCGACTCAAAAGAGAGGGAGGGATGAGAAGACTGGAAAAGACTGCTGCAAAAGTGGGATGAGAAAGGTGATACAAACAGGAGCACGCAGCAAGGCCCCCACGTCTTGAGACGCTACTTCACTCACCATTTCAGAGCTGACGCTGGTGAACGGAATGCCCCAGTCGTGCAGCGCCTGCCGTTTCAGAGCGACTAGGAACTATACAATACACCCAGCGTGCAGCACACCCAGCGTGCAGCACACGCAGCAACACACCCAGCGGCTCTGCACTCACGATTTCAGAGCTGACGCCAGTGAACGGAATGCCGCAGTCGTGCAGCGCCTGCCAGATGGCGCCGCACCCGTCGAACAGACTCACCACCGCCAACGGCCGCCCCTCCCACGGCCCCGCGCGCCTCCGCGCCTCCCCCAGCCAGTCACCGTCCCACCCCGCCCCCGCCTCCCTCGCCCATTCCCCCGGTTGCCCAGCCCAAGCCCCCGAGTGTGATCCCCGCGCCCCTTGCTGCGCTCCCGTCCGCGCAGCTGCGCCTGCGCCTGATTGCTCCCGCGCCCCTGCCTGGTGAAAAGGCTCTGCTTTCCCCGCGGAACCATCCCTTTCCATCTTCCGATGTCCCCTTTCCCCGTTTTCCACCTCCACCCTCCCGCCACCTAATGAGAGATCGCGTATAGCGGAGCCGCGCGCAGGCGGACTACGATCGTTCCGCCACGCCTCCCGCGTCGCGGGGGTTCTGAGTGGGCAATGGAGCCTCGAAACGCGTCGAGACGCGTCGAAACAAGCTCTGCGCGGCAATGCCGAGGAGGAAGGTGAAAATACAGCTTATACCACTAATACCCTTCGCCGTGCGCTAGCTAATGACCTGATAAACCACGAATCGCTCCAGCCGCACGGCGAAGGGTGGGCTGAGAGTGGCTACTCAGCAGTCGTGCTAACCGGAGCGGCGGGTGTGCGTTTGTAGGCGTGCTTTGGAGGGCGAGGCGAGATAGGAGTGTGATTGACGTGACGAGAGGAGGGCGATTCGAGGATCGTTATCGTGAAATGTGCGGAGCAGCGCAGCGGGATGGGTTGAGATGAGGATGATGGGAGTGGTTGATGTGACAGCAGTGTATTGCTCGCGAGTACAGTTACACATCAGTTGAGATTGTGAAGTCGCAAAAACAAGATATTATGTTTTGACTGTTTCATATAGCGAAGCTCCGTAACGCGGACGAGCCCACCCCTATGCCAGTTGCATTGATATTTCGGGTTTTGACGGGTTTGAGGGTTATTCCTCCTGCTCCTACAGAATTCAGGGCTTTGGTCCCGTCAGCGATAGCTTTGCGTGAAATTTTCTTTCACAGAGCCTAGTCCTTTTTGACGCCTCAAAAGGTTGCGCATTAGCACCGTCTGTGTAGGCACATTCGCTCGACTGCAGCATTAACGCAGACATTAAATCTCGCTGCGCGCCGATGGGCTGGCAGGGAGGCGACGGAATGCGCGGAAGGGGGAGAGGACGTGGCGGAGGGAAAGGCGGGCGCGGGTACGGCGGAGTAGCAGGCGGCGGAGCGGGCGGAGGTGGCGCGGAGCGAGGCTCTACAGCGGAGCAACACGCTTTTGCGCCGTACGCACACCACACCCGACCGTTGCACACGCAGTGACAACCATCCAGCCTACGTGCTAGTCTTAATCGTCCCTCCCCTCACCCTCGACCCTCCACTCTCCCCCGCTCCTTTCCGCCAGACGCGTGTTGGACCCGTCTCTCTCGCAACACTTCACGGAAATCGCCACGTGCTTGTCCTTATCCACGCCTCGCTTTCCCGCCCGCCCCCGCCTCTCCCACGCTCCTCCCTCCACTCCTCTCCCCCCTTACCGCCAGACGCGTGCTGGACCCGTCTCTCTCGCAGTACTTCACGGAAATCGCCACCGCGTGGGAAGACACCCCCGACCCGCAAGGTGCGCTCCTCGCTCCTCCTAAACCCCGCCGCCCTAACCCTCAACCCTTCTCTTCTTGAACCCCGTCTCTCCTCTCCGCTTCCGCCCATCGCTCTCACTCTCTCCGCTAACTGCCCCCTCCATTCCGCATGGTCTTCAATTCCGCCCCACCGACCTCCTCTCTCTCCATTTCTTGGCCCCAATCCCGAACCTCCCCCGTGCCGTGCCTCAGACCGAGCCTCCATCGCTGCCAATGCTCTGGAGGAGGCTCGGGGGAAGGAGCACCAGCTTCTGTGGGACACCCAGACCTGCCGCACGCTCGAGCCACTCCTCTCCGCCGCCCCCCCCGCCGCCGCCACCCGCTTCCTCGCCGGCGCCTGCTGCTGCGCGCGCAGGAGGGGAGAGGCGGAGGGGCAAGGCGCGGGGGGAGGAGGGGAGGGATCGGGGGAGCGGGAGGTGAATGTTTGTCGGGATGTATTGGCGCATGGGCTTGCATCGAGGGTGATTGAAGCGGGTCTGCGGAATATCCGCGCGTGGGTGACGGGAGAGAGCAGGACACGTGGCAGTGCAGGATTGGACGAAAACGGGGCAGGAGACGACGAGAACGAGGAGCAGGATGGGGAGGGGGAGGAGGAAGAAAACGAGGAGGAGACGGAAGGCCAGGGTGATTTACCCAAATGGACCGGAACAGTGCGGGTGGTTTTGAAAAAGATCTGCAAAGAAGTGACGGAGTATCCCCTAGCAGCCATGACTAGCCCGGCTTGCTCCCACGTGTTGCGCTCGCTGCTGCTCCTCCTCGCCTGCCGCCCCATCCACGACACGCCCGCAGCAGCAGAGGGCACGAGGAAGGCCCGGCGGGATGGGGCTGATAGCGTGGGTGGGGAGGAGAAGAGGGAGCAGGGCGGGGAGGAGGCGGGGGAGGAGCGGAGAGAGGGTGGGGCGGGGAGAAGGTTCGGCGGCCGCTTGCCTCCGCAGATCCAGCGGGCAGCTGGAAATTTCCCGCCGTCCTCTGGTGCGACCTTTCCAGGGCTGCCCGGAATGGCCGGGCAGGGTACAGGCTTGGCTGGAGGGAAGGAAGTGGGAGCAGCAGCAGGGGGTGCAGAAGCAGCGGCAGCAGCGGAGAGGGGGAGGAGGGTGGGGGCGGCGTTGGGGTTTCCGGCGCTGCTGCAGCGGGTGGTGGTGGGGGTGACGGCGGCAGCAGCGGGGGCAGACGAGGCGGTGCCGTCAGCAGCAGTGGCGTGGTCGCCCTATGGGGACTCGTGGACCCTCGCCTGTGACCCCTCTGCTGGCCCTCTGCTGCAGGTGGGTGTGCTGTGAGTGTGGTGGTGGTGCTGCTGCTGCTGGTACAAATGGTGGTGCGGATGGCGATGGTGCTGGTGATGGGGTTGAATTCAGAATGCATGTTGTATGTCGGGTGTAATCTCCACGCCTTGCTGTCGCCACGTGTGCAGGTGCTGTTGGACGTGATTCGCGATGATGCTGCCCTGCTCACCCACGTCATCACCTCTCTGCTCCACCTGCCCGAGGCTGCGCTTCGGGCTGCGGCGAAAAAAAGGAAACGGGCAGGGCCGGGCAAGCAAGAGGGAGAGCGTGGGAAGAAGAGAAGCAGAAGAGAAAAGGAGGAGGGGGGAGAGGAAGGAGATGAGGAGGAGGGGAGAGGAGGAGCAGAGGGGGGCGAGGAAGGGGAGGAAGCGGACCAGCAGGTGGAGGAGGAGGTAGGGCAGATCATTGAGCTTATGAAGGACCGATGTGGCTCGAGATTCATGGAGGTGAGGGGGGGTTGGCTGACGCAGTGAAGCATTTCACCGTCCTCCCCCTGCGTTGGTGCTGTTGGTTTGACCGCCACTCCACCTCCGCATGCTGCTCTGACAACCCACCGCTTCCCCTCCCCTTGACTTCTGCCCGTCGTTCCCCATCCCATCCCGTGTTGACCCCTTCCCCATCTCCTTTCCTCCCCCCCCCAACCCCCCGTCCCCACTTCCTCCCCAGACCGGGATTCAGCTCGCCCCACAATCCCTCCGCTCCTCGCTCCTGCAAATGGCCTTGCTCCCCCACCTGCTGCCCCTCGCGCTGCACCCCATTGCCAACAACACCGTGCAAACCGCCCTCTCCGCCCTCCACTCCCCCTCAACTCCCTGTCTACCCCTCTTGGTGTTTTCAAGCAGCTTTTTTCTCCCTCTCTCCCCCATCCGCCCCCTTTCCGCAGGCTGTTCTCCTGCTCGCCCCACAGTCCCTCCGCTCCTCGCTCCTGCGAGTGGCCCTGCTCCCCCACCTGCTGCCCCTCGCGCTGCACCCCATCGCCAACTACACCGTGCAGACCGCCCTCTCCGCCCTCCACTCCCCCTCCGACGTCAAACGCGCCTTCAAGGCGCTGGCAGAGAGGGGGACAGGGGAAGGAGAAGGGGAGGAAGGGGGTGGAAACCGTGGGGAGGAGGGGGGGGAAGCGGTAGGGAGAGGGGAGGGGTTGTTGGCGCTGCTGAAGGGGGGCAGGGGCCGGGTAGTGCTGGCGCTGCTGATTGCATGTGGACGCACCAAGACATTTCAGGCGCGGGTGGGTGAGAGCTGTGATGCTTGGAGCCACTTCTGTGGATCAGGGAGTGTGGTGTGGTGTTGGCGCTGCTCATTGCGTGCGGACGCACCAAGACATTTCAGACACGGTTGATTGAGTTGTGATTATGGCTTGGTGTGACTGAAGCGAGAGGGTGGATACGGGAGTAGTAAACGAACACCGGGCCACTCACCTTTCTGCGATCGCGACCCTATCCAATTGACTGCTTCCCGGACTGCATCAGAACCCTGCTTTCCATACTCTTTGTCCAATTCTCTTTGACTGATTCTCTTCAAACGCATAACTTCCCTCGGCAGGCCTGTGACAGCCTGCTAGCAGCCCTTTCCTCATCGCCAGCACCATCACCAGTGGACGCGGCAGCAGCAGATGCGGCAGCAGTGGGCGATCTGCTGTGGCTGGATGCGTGGCTGGCAGTGAGGGTGAACGATGTGCGCTCCAACCGAGCCAAGAAGCGCCAGCAGCAACAAGGATGGGGGTCCGTGCCGGTGACAGAGCGCGGAGCGGTCTCCTTTGTGGGCTGCATGGCGCTGCAGACCATCTTCTCGTTTCCCATGGTGAGTCTTAGAGCTGCTGCAAACAGCATTCGCAAGACTTAAGCAGCAGCAGGGGTGGGGCGGGCGCCGTGGCCGTGGCAGAGCGTGGGGCGGTGTCGTTCGTGGGGTGCATGGCGGCGCTGCAGACCATCTTCTCCTTCCCTCTGGTGAGTCCTCAGGGCAGCAGCAACTTGCAAGGAAAACACAGCAAGGAGCAAGCTGTTTGTAGCACGCACATGTCCCTGATCTCGTCTGTCTCTGCTCTCCAGGCTGCTCTAACGAAGCTCCCATGTAGGCCGCCTCGCCTATTCCATGGTACCCCGCCCACCACACACCTCCCTTCCCATCATGCTCCTCCCCGCCCACTGCCAGGCGGCGTCGCAGAGGGTGGTGCAGGCGTGTGTGGCGCTGCCGCCCTCCTACCTCATGCATCTGGCCACGGATGTCAAGGGCACCCGCGTGCTCTCCGCCTTCTTCCGTGCTGCCACTGTCCCCCTGGACCTCAAGACCACCATGCTCAACAGGTACGTGCGTTGTGGTGCTGTGAGGTGTTGTGCGGTGCTGTGAGGTGTTGTGCCGTGCTGTGCCATGATGTGCGGTGCCGTGTGTCTCACAACCTCTCCCCACCCTCACCTCTCCCTCCAATCCTCATCACATGCCTCCCTCCCTCCCGCCCCTCGCAGTTTGAAGCCGCGCCTGACGACGATAGCAGCAGATCGGCTGGGTGCGTTTGTGGTGTCGGCAGCATTTGATGCCATGACGGTGGAAGGCAAGCAGATGATCCTCGCTGAGCTGGCGACGCGCTATTCGTCGGCGTCGTCCTCTCTGCTGCAGCGGCCTCTCTTCCGTCACATGAGCCTCGCAGAGTGAGTCATTGCCCTTCTGCATGGCTTGCTCTTCTTCCTCCGCTCTTCTGCGTGTCCTCTCTCTCCTCCTCGTCTTCTGTGTGCCGTACTCACACGCTCGGCAGGGTCTACCCTAGTAAGCATCTCGCGCGCCTTGCTGTTCAGTTCAGTTCAGTCTCACCTGTTCCCCTTATGTACGTCCTTCTCTTGCTCGCCCCTCCCCACTCCACACCCACCAGATACCTGGAGAGCCCAGAGGCATGGCAGAAGCAGCAGCAGCGCAAGGAGGGCCTGCTGCGAGAGTTCCAAGACCTGCTTGCGCCTGCTCCCGCTGCCTTACCCTCACTGGCGCCTGCTCCCCCTGCACTGCCTTCCGCCTCCGCACCTGATGCCAAGCCTCGTAAGAAGAAGAGAGAACCGACTGTGGAAGTAGCAGCTTCGGCTGTGACTAAGAACACGAAAAGTGGGAAGAAGAGAAGAGGGGGGGGTGAGGGGGATGAGGGGGAAGAGGGGCGGCATGGAGGGAGTGATGTGGGAAGCAGAGGGGGAGGCAAGTCTGGGGAGGCGTTGAGAGGCATTGTGGAGCAGTTGGAGCTGGGGAGTGAGTTGGCAATGTTGGGGTTCAGTGGTGACGGTGGGGAAATGGGACAGGATGAGATGGATGGTGGGAGTGTTTCGAAGAAAAGAAAGGACAAATCTGCTGGTGCTGCACCCAAGAAAAGAGGCCGTGTGTGAAGAGTTGGTGTCATTTTTTGTTCGATCCTGGTGGAATTATGGGTGAAATTCTGGTGGCACCCTTTTTTCCTTTTTGGGTTATTTTTTAGGCCCCAGAAAATCACTCACTTATTCAGCAGCATGGTTGCTTATGTGCTCAACCAGACATATCTATATTGAGAGGACTTACCAGGTGTAAGGAATTTTCTCGGCATTCCTTACGGAGCCGACTACATCGCGTACAGCAACAGCCGATTGTTCGCCCGTTACTGCTAACGGAACTTCGCCGACTTCGCGCGCACTGTTTTACCAAACCTCGCACTGCTGGCATGGCCGTATCGGCCTACGCTTCGGGACTAGCCCGAGCCTCGCTCCAGCGTAGCACTAGCAAGCTCGCACGCACCGCGTTACCGTTTTGCATGTTTCGCGTATAAATGTTCGCTCATGCCTTCGCTCACATTTTGTACTCGTTTGACACCTTAGTGCAATTCTCGCTACCTCGATTCATTGCACCCGTAACACTTGGTATCAGAGCCCCTTTCTTTCGGACCGCGCATCTCCGCACACCAGGAAATCAACTTTTGATTTTTCACTCGAAGGGACTCACGCACCTTAGCCCCTAGGAGCCGCTGTCCTCGCGTTCTCTCGTAAACGCGTGCAGCCACGACTGCGCCTAGACTAAGACGAGCCGACGCCCTTCGTCATGGCCGAAAACATCGACGTCACCACTCTCACGCAGGAGCGTTTGAACGATCTGCTGCGACAACTGCACGAAAGCTCCGAGGAAATCGCGGCATTGACGGCAGAACGCTCATCACTGCAAAATGACCTCCTAAGAGCACAATCTCAAGCACCTGGCACTCCGATTCAACCCGCACCCTCAACATCACAACACGGGAGTGTGGGGCAACCCGCGAGCGCGGCCAGTGATGGCGTCGTCCGCCCCGACGGAGACGACGACCACGGCACGACACACCCCAGAGCGACGCCTGCGGCCCCAAGTCAGCCTCGCGTCACGATTTCGGCACCAACCCACGATTCGGGACTGCCGTCACCGATGCCGCTGAAGCCGCAGCGCCCGCCATGCTTTGACCCGAGTCAACGGGGTGGTCCTACCGTTCAGGCGTGGTTATTCACAATGAATGTTTTCTTCGACGCCAACTACGTCTCGGAGGACTCGGCGAAGATTCGATACGCCGTGTCGTTGCTGCGAGGACCCGCCATGGACTGGTGGCGCGTCATCGTCACGAAGCCGACCGACTACGCGACACTACCGACACGGGAAGGACAAACCGGACCCTGGGCGCCGTCGTATTTCGTGGAGGTGCCCCAGTATCGCACGTGGGACGTGTGGTGCGCAGGTCTGCGCGCTCGATTTGAGCCAATCGCGGCCTCGATCTCGGCGCGACAGAAGCTCCGCACTTGGCGCCAACTCGGTTCCGTCCAGGATTATACGAGCGGATTTCTGGCGCTATGCGAGCAGGTGGGCTACATGCATGAGAGCGAACGCATCGACCGCTACATCGGCGGCCTGAAGCAGGACATCGCTCAGGAAATCCAGCTTCGCGGCGTCACTGAGTTTCAGGAAATTCTCGCTATGGCGGAGAAGCTCGACTTCTTTCGCCGACCGAGACCGGGGTCCTACGGAAACAACACCTGGGGACATCGGCCTCGTGGGACGAACGAGAGCGCCACGATACGCGCCGTCGCCGCAAATGCCGCTGCCGCACCGTTCAAAGGGCGCTGCTTTGCGTGCAATCGGCCGGGACATCGCAAGAGCGAATGCCCGGAAAACGCTAAGGGAAAGGGGGAAGCTGAGCAGCAGACACAGACCAAGCAGCAGGGAAACGCTGGAAGTCAGTAGCAGACGGGCCCTCTACTGACAGGTCACGCCGCTCGCCCGACCCAACCGACCCTCACCGAGTGATTGTGCCGGTTCACGCAATCGACCACACCCGGCCGAATAAGGAGGGTACCACGGTAGATAGCCCTATACTGCTCAGTGGGAAAATTGGGACGGACTTAGTTAAAATCTTCGTAGACGGGGGAGCCAGCCACAGCCTCATTAACACTGCTACAGCACGCAAACTGCGACTGCCACTGGACCGATGCTTACCTGAGATCGACGCACGACTGGTAGACGGCACGCCGCTGGCAATACGGGAACGCGTAGACCGAGTTCGGATTCGATGCGGGGGTAACTTCACGTTTAGTCAGGAAATGCTCGCAACGACCCTCGACGGAACCGACATTTTACTCGGGCGTGATTGGCTGCGACGACACAATCCGCGAATTGACTGGACGACGGGTGACTGCACCGTGCGAGTAAACGGTAACAACATCGCCTTACCTCGCTGGGGCTCGCCTGAGTCTTCGTCGGTGCGTGTCAACGCGATCACGATGAAACGCGCTGTTGCGGCCGGAGCTGACGTGTACGCGGTTGACATTCGGGAAGCCGAGGCAGCAGACAAGGGGGGCGATTTACAGAAACTGCTGACCGACGTACCGAGTGACCTGGCAGCACTGTTAAAACAGTACAGTGACATTTTCCCGGATGACTTACCGACGGGACTGCCACCTCAACGACCGCACGATCACAGGATAGAACTGGAACCGGGGGCACAGCCAACAGTACAGCGACAGTTCCGACTGACCCAACCCGAACTAGACGAACTAAGGAAGCAGCTCGATTACCTGCTCGAAAAGGAATTCATTCGCCCTAGTTCGTCGCCCTTCGCCGCACCAATACTGTTCACACCGAAAAAGGACGGGGGTTTTCGCATGTGCATCGACTACAGGGCACTGAACAGGGTTACCATCAAATCCCGTTACCCCATCCCACGAGCCGACGAACTGATCGACCAACTGCGCACAGCCCGGGTTTTCTCGAAAATCGACCTCCGAGGAGGCTACCACCAAATCCGCGTCAACCCACCCGACTGCCCTAAAACCGCATTCCGAAAACGCTACGGATCCTTCGAATACACCGTCATGCCATTCGGACTGACCAACGCCCCCGCCACTTTCCAAATGACCATGAACGAAGCATTCCGCCCGCTTTTAGATAAGTGCGTCATCGTTTATCTGGACGACATACTGATTTACAGCCCTGACAGAGCACAGCACTTACAAGACATCGAAGCAGTTTTTAAAATCCTGAGTGAGAACCGCCTACTGACCAAAGCATCTAAGTGTGAGTTTTTACAGGACCGCCTGGAGTTTTTGGGACATGTTATTTCAGCTGCAGGAGTGGAAATAGACCCGAAGAAAATTGCGACGATTCAGGCTTGGCACGCGCCGACCAACTTGACCGAGTTGCAGAGTTTCCTGGGGTTCGTCAACTACGTGCGCCGGTTCGTCCCCGACATGGCGAAGCTGACTGCCCCGTTGACTGACCTGCTGAGGAAGGGGGTTGAGTACACGTGGGGGGAGAAAGAGCAAGCTGCCTTCTCGGCCCTCAAAAATATTTTGTGCTCCCCGCCCGTCCTTCACATTGCAGATCCCCACCGTCCGTTCGAGCTCGTCACCGACGCAAGTGACATCGCTGTGGGAGCAGTACTGTTGCAGGATTTCGGGAACGGCCTCCAGCCAATCGCGTACGAGTCCCGCAAGTTACACCCGCCCGAACGTAACTACCCGATACACGACCGCGAGATGCTAGCGATCGTGCACGCGTTCAAAGTTTGGCGATGTTACCTGACTGGCGCCGACGTGACAGTACGGACAGACCACCGCTCGCTACAGTATCTTCGCGCCCAACCGAATCTCAACCCACGACAGATTCGCTGGCTGGACTATCTCGAGTCCAATTTTCACTACACCGTTACGTACAAAAAGGGTGCATCCAACATCGCCGACGCTCTCACCCGCCCCACCGCCCAACTCCATGCCATCCTACTCGCCCAGACCAACCCGCTTTTAACTGGCCTATTCACCCACGGATACCGCACCGACCCATTTTTCACGACCGGAAATTCACAACAACTGGCAGAAGCAAAAGGAGTCTATTACGTAAAAGCAGGCACCAACCGCATTTGGGTACCCGCGTACTCACTACTGAGGGAGCTGCTACTACAGGAGGCACACGACGGGATTACCTCGGGACATTTCGGGGTAGAAAAAACGCGACAGCAACTGCAGCGGTACTATTACTGGCCGGAGTTGTTGACCGACGTACAGCAGCACGTGGGCTCGTGCCCGACGTGTCAGGTGATGAAGAGTTCAAGGAAGCGGAAGGCGGGTCAATTGCAGCCGATCCCACCGCCCGAACGCGCCTGGCAGCAAGTAACCATGGACTTCGTCACAGGGTTACCTTCGAACCCTGGGGGTAACGACGCGGTGATGGTCGTCGTGGATAGGCTGACGAAGATGGCACACTTCGCTGCGTGCAAAAAGTCAATCTCAGCCGAGGAGACCGCTCGCCTGTTCATCGCAGCCGTTGTTCGCCTACACGGGATACCAGCAGCAATTATCAGCGACAGGGACACGAAATTTACCAGCAACTTCTGGAAGAACCTCTGGGAGCAGTTCGGGACCAGGCTACAGTTCAGTTTGTCGTACCACCCCGAGACCGACGGCCAAACGGAGCGGACGAATCAGACGATGGAGCAGTTGATTCGTGCCACGTGCGACGACCCCACGACCTGGGAGCAGCAGTTGCCGCTGATCGAGTTCGCGTACAACAACGCCACATCAGCCACAACGCAGCAGTCCCCGTTCTACCTGAACTATGGGCAGAACCCCACAGTGCCCATGACGCCGAGTCCGGACAACCCAACGCCACGCGCACAACAATTCGCCGAAATCCTGCAAGCTGCCCGCGCCAGAGCCGCCGAAGCAATAAAAAAGGCCAACGTCATCGCTAAGCGCAACGCTGATCGCCACCGCCGCCCCGTCACGTATCAATCTGGAGATTACGTGCTACTCGACACGCAAAATCTGCGACTGCCCGACGTACCAAAATTACGACCACGCTACTGTGGACCATTCCAAATCAGTCACATGATCACACCCGTCACCTG